TTGGCGCTCACGAATGAAGAGCACCCGCTGCATTTCCTGCACATGTGCGGATCCTTCCGCGTTTTGGGGCTAGAAGCGTTCGTTCCGAGCGTTTTTCTTCCGTTGGGTCACGTGGCTACGCTTGTCTGGGTCTATTATCAAGCCATCAAGGGCGTGGGAGGGTTGCGAGCATCATCGGTCATCGGCGCTCGCGAATGAAGAGCGCCTGCTGCACTTTCTGCACACGTGCGGATCCTTCCGCGTTTTGGGGCTGGAAGCGTTCGTTCCGAGCGCTTTTCTTCCGCCGGATCACGTGGCTGCGCTTGTCTGGGCCTATTGCCAAGCCAGCAATAGAGTGGGAGGGTTGCGAGCATCATCGGTCATCGGCGCTCGCGAATGAAGAGCGACCGCTGCACATCCCGCACATGTGCGGATCCTTCCGCGTTTTGGGCTGGAAGAGCTCGTTCCGAGCGCTTTTCTTCTTCCGGGTCACGTGGTTGCGCTTGTCTGGGCCTAATGCCAAGCCAGCAAGGCCGTGGGATGGTTGCGAGCATCATCGGTCACCGGCGCTCGCGAATGAAGAGCGCCTGCTGCACTTTCTGCACATGTGCGGATCCTTCCGCGTTTTGGGGCTGGAAGTGCTCGTTCCGAGCGTTTATCTTACGCAGGGTCTCATGGCTGCGCTTTTCTGGGCCTATTGCCAAGCCAGCAAGGGCGAGGGACGGTTGCGAGCATCATTGGTTATCGGCACTCGCGAATGAAGAGCGCCCGCTGCACATCCCGCACATGTGCGGATCCTTCCGCGTTTTTGGGCTGAAATAGCTCGTTCCGAGCGCTTTTCTTCCTCTCGGTCACGTGGCTGCGCTTGTCTAGGCCTATTGCCAAGCCAGCAAGGGCGTGGGAGGGTTGCGAGCATCATCGGTCATCGACGCTCGCGAATGAAGAGCGCCCGCTGCACTTACTGCACATGTGCGGATCCTTCCGCGTTTTGGGTCTGGAAACGCTCGTTCCGAGCGTTTTTCTTCTGCCAGGTCACGTGGCTGCACTTGTCTGGGCCTATTGCTAAGCCAGCAAGGGCGTGGGAGGGTTGCGAGCATCATCGGTCATCGGCGCTCGCGAATGAAAAGCGCCCGCTGCACTTTCTGCACATGTGCGGATCCTTTTGCGTTTTGGGGCTGGAAGCGTTCGTTCCGAGCGCTTTTCTTCCGCCGGGTCACGTGGCTGCGCTTGTCTGAGCCTATTGTCAAGCCAGCATTAGAGTGGGAGGGTTGCGAGCATCATCGGTCATCGGCGCTCGCGAATGAAGAGCGCCCGCTGCACATCTCGCACATGTGCGGATCCTTCTGCGTTTTGGGCTGGAAGAGCTCGTTACGAGCGCTTTTCTTCCTCCGGGTCAAGTGGTTGCGCTTGTCTAGGCCTATTGCCAAGCCAGCAAGGGCGTGGGAGGGTTGCGAGCATCATCGGTCATCGGCGCTCGCGAATGAAGAGCGTCCGCTGCACTTCCTGCACATGTGCGGATCCGTCCACGTTTTGGGGCTGGAAGCGCTCGTTCGGAGCGTTTTTCTTTCGCCGGGTCATGTGGCTGCGCTTGTTTGGGCCTATTACCAAGCCAGCAAAAGCGTCAGAGGTTTGCGAGCATCATCGGTCATCGGCGATCATGAATGAAAAGCTCCCGCTGCACTTCCTGCACATGTGCGGATCCTTCCGCGCGTTTTGGGGCTGGAAGCGCTCGTTTCGAGCGTTTTTCTTCCGCCGGGTCACGTGGTTGCGCTTGCCTGGGCCTTTTGCCAAGCCAGCAATGGCGTGAAAGGGTTGCGAGCATCATCGGTCATCGGCGCTCGCGAATGAAGATCGCTCGCTGCACTTCCTGCACATATTCGGATCCTTCCGCGTTTTGGGGCTGGAAGCGCTCGTTCCGAGCGTTTTCTTCCGCCGGGTCACGTGGTTGCACTTGCCTGGGCCTATTGCCAAGCCAGCAATAGAGTGGGAGGGTTGCGAGCATCATCGGTCATCGGAGCTCGCGAATGAAGAGCGCCCGCTGCACTTACTGCACATGTTCGGATCCTTCCGCGTTTTGGGGCTAGAAGCGCTCGTCCCAAACCGTTTTTCTTCCGCTGGGTCACGTGGCTGCGCTTGTCCGGGCGTATTGCCAAGCCAGCAAGGGCGTGGGACGGTTCCGAGCATCATCGGTCATCTGCGCTCGCGAATGAAGAGCGCCCGCTGCACTTCCTGCACATGTGCTGATCCTTCCGCGTTTTGGGTCTGGAAGCGCTCGTTCCGAGCGTTTTTCTTCCGCCGGGTCACGTGGCTGCGTCTGTTTGGGCCTATTACCAAGCCAGCAAGGGCGTGGGAGAGTTGCGAGCATCATCGGTGATCGGTGCTTGCGAATGAAGAGCGCCCGCTGCACATCCCGCACATGTGCGGATCCTTCCGCGTTTCGGGGCAGGAAGAGCTAGTTCCGAGCGCTTTTCTTCCGCCGGGTCACGTGGTTGCGCTTGTCTGGGCCTATTGCAAAGCCAGCAATGGCGTGGGAGAGTTGCGAGCATCATCGGTCATCGGCGCTCGCGAATGAAGAGCGCCCGCTGCACTTTCTGCACATGTGCGGATCCTTCCGCGTTTTGGGGCTGGAAGCGCTCGTTCCACGCGTTTTTTTTCCTCCGGGTCACGTGGTTGCGCTTGCCTGGGCCTATTGTCAAGCCAGCAATAGAGTGGGAGGGTTGCGAGCATCATCGGTCATCGGCACTCGCGAATGAAGAGCGCCTGCTGCACATCCCGCACATGTGCGGATCCTTCCGCGTTTTGGGGCTGGAAGAGCTCATTCCGAGCGCTTTTCTTCCTCCGGGTCACATGGCTGCACTTGTCTAGACCTTTTGCCAAGCTAGCAAGGGCGTGGGAGGGTTGCGAGCATCATCGGTCATCGGCGCTCGCGAATGAAGAGCGCCCGCTGCACTTACTGCACATGTGCGGATCCTTCCGCGTTTTGGGGTTGGAAGCGCTCGTTTCGAGCGTTTTTCTTCCGATGGGTCACGTGGCTGCGCTTGTTTGGGCCTATTATTAAGCCAGCAAAGGCGTGGGAGGTTTGCGAGCATCATCGGTCATCGGCGCTCGCGAATGAAGAGCGCCTGCTGCACATCCCGCACATGTGCGGATCCTTCCGCGTTTTGGGGCTGGAAGCACTCGTTCCGAGAGTTTTTCTTCCGCAGGGTCACGTGGTTGCACTTTTCTGGGCCTATTGCCAAGCCAGCAAGGGCATGGGAGGGTTGCGAGCATCATCGGTCATCGGCGCTCATTCATGAAAAGCGCCCGCTGCACTTCCTGCACATGTGCGGATCCTTCCGCGTTTTGGGTGTGGAAGTGCTCGTTCCGAGCGTTTTTCTTCCGCCGGGTCGCGTGGCTGCACTTTTTCGGTCCTATTACCAAGCCAGCAAGGGAGTAGGAGGGTTGCGAGCATCATCAGTCATCGGCGCTCGCGAATGAAGAGCGTCCGCTGCACTTCCTACACATGTGCGGATCCTTCCGCGTTTTGTAGATGAAAACGCTCGTTCCAAGAGTTTTTCTTCCATTTGGTCACGCCGCTGTGTGTGTTTGGACCTATTACCAAGCCAGCAAGAGCGTGCGAGGGTGACGATCATGATCGGTCATTGTTACAGGCGAATAAACCATGCCTGCTGCATTTTCTGCACATGTGCGGATCCTTCCGTGTTTTGTAGATGAAAACGCTCGTTCCAAGCGTTTTTCTTCCGTTTGATCACGCGGTTGTGTGTGTTTGGACCTATTAGCAAGCCAGCTCTTGCATGACGAGCATGATTGGTCATTGGTACTGACGAATAAACCATGCCTGCTGCATTTTCTGCACATGTGCGGATCCTTCCGCATTTTGGTTATGAAAACGCTCGTTCCGAGCGTCTTTCTTCCGTTCGGTCACGCGGCTGTGTCCGTTTGGACCTATTACCAAGCCAGCAAGGGCGTGGGAAGGTCACGAGCATGATCAATCATTGCTACTGGCGAATAAACCATGCCTGCTGCATTTTCTGCACATGTGCGGATCCTTTCGCGTTTTGGGGATGAAAACGCTCGTTCCGAGCGTTTTTCTTCCGTTCGGTCACGCGGATGTGTGCGTTTGGACCTATTACCAAGCCAGCACGAGCGTGGGAGGGTGTCGAGCATGACCGGCCATTGGTACTGGCGAATGAGGCATGCCTGCTGCATTTTCTGCACATTTGCATACCCTTTCACCCTTTCGCGTTTTGAGGATGAAAATGCTCGTTCCGAGCGTTTTTCTTCCGTTCGGCCATGCGGCTGTGTGTGTTTGGACCTATTACCAAGCCAGCAAGAGCGTGGGAGGGTGACAAGCATGATCTGTTATTGGTACTGGCGAATGAACCATGGCTGCTGCATTTTCTGCACATGTGCGGATCCTTCCGCGTTTTGGGGATGAAAACGCTCGTTCCGAGCGTTTTTCTTCCGTTCGGTCACGCGGCTGTGTGTGTTTGAGGGTGGGCACACCGGTGCACCACCCAGAAATTTGTAACACTAACTACACTAGCTAGCCTACAGGCAGTTGAAGTCGATATAATATATATCTTATAGTAGTAGATAGTGTAGGTTGTGAATTTCTACCTATTTTGTCATATGAAGGAATTATCTATGATGTTACCAAGACGTTCCTGGTTTCACGGGGCTTCAGACTTCCCCGACCGACAGCTCTGCCCCAACGGTTTGCTCTGGGGTTCTTCACTGCTTGAGGCAAAATGACCGTTCCCGCCACTCGCATACCTACTCCCCGCTCCACCGCACCACCCTCCCTAGACTATTCCACATTCTGTAGTGAGATCGAACTCTGCCACCCCACCAGCACTCTTTCATTGGAACTCGGAAAATTAGGTTTCAGAGGATGAGGGATGTCCAAACGCAGGACTACGTATTCATGCCTAGCGTGATTTACGGTGCCTAAACGTTGACCTGAAGCGACGTATGTACTTCACAGTGACGATCCTGGTCGTCAGACGGTCGTCGTGCGGATGTCATTGGGCAGCGGTTCTCCCCTGGCGCCGAGCGTGTCCCCCCCCGCGCGGTGGGATGGCGGGCAGCAGTGCGTGCTGCACGAGGTGACGCGCTTCGACACCCTCGCCGGCATCGCCATCCGCTATGGCGCCCAGGTGCGCCCACCCGAGCCCAGCTCTCCTCGTGCCCACCTAGATATTCTCGTCATTACTGCCGTGTCTTGTGTGCTTCCTTCTTACCTCCGCCTTTCTGCGCGGAACTAAAGCATTGCTCTCCGCTGCTGTCAGCCCGATAATCTGTGTGTCTCGCATCTCGCTGTACAAGGTTCTTGCAATATCTGTGTCTGTAGAAAGTTCTCTCCGCTGCTGTCGCCCGAACACCGACCCGCCACATGAGCACGCAGCCAGTGCGTGACAGCAGCCTCGCTTCACTCTGTGCAAGATTCTTCCTCTCTCGCCCTCCCGCCGTCTAGCATGCCCTCCTCGTGTGCACCTCGTCACTCTCCTTCCCGCCGACCCTTCCCAAGCGCACGTCTATCTCCTGCATCGAATTGAACCATTCCATGCATGCATCGTGTTTCCATCCCGCCTCACTCATGCGCTGCTCACCGTGCGCGGTGTGCGGCGAGCAGGTGGCGGACATCAAGAAGGCGAACCGCATTTCGACGGACTCGCAGCTGTTCGCCATGAAGTTCATCCGCGTTCCGCTCTCCGCCGCACTCTCCGCCTCGCCGCCGCTGCTCTCCCCCACCTCGTGCAACCGTGCCAGGTCAGCGTCACTCTGCGCCTGCTCTTCGCGAGTTGCAACCCACCCACGTGATCAAACACTTGTCGCTCCTGCTTTTACTCTTCTCCATGCGCCAACCTCATCATTGTAAGCCTGACGCTGTGACCCCCTCCCCGCCACCAGGCACCTCCTCCTCTCGCTTCCCCTCTTGCTCCCAACCCTTTGTCCTCTCTCCCCTTCTCGCCCCTCTACCCTCACTCATTCACCTGGGAGGCTCCTTTGTACATTTCGATTGGATGGAACCCCCCCTTCTCCCCCAAGTCACCTCTCTCTGTCTCGTGTTATCCCCCTCATTATCACATCGCACCCCCTTCCCTGCGCCCCCATCTTGCCACCCTCGTCAACCCGCCCTCTCGCAGTTCCAGTCACGCGGGGAGCAGCCAGCAGCGCACAGAGCAGCACGGCACGGGCAGCTCGTCGCCAGCGGCCACCACCAGCGCCGCCATGGCCAGTGGCAGCGGCAGCGGGGGCGGCGCGGGGTCGCTGTCGGAGGCCATCCTGCAGCTGGTGTCGGTGCAGGCAGCCGCGGAGCACGCGGAGGCCCACAGTCGCAACTTGGCCGCCGCTGAGGCTGCAGGGCGGGCGCGCGCGTCGACGTTCTTCTTCGTGCAGATGCGCGAGGCGGAGCAGTACGTGTCGTCCGAGGGCGAGGAGCCCTCTCCCCCCTGCCAGCGCGGCACGTCCCTCTCCGAGGGCGAGGGCGATGAGGGCGCGCGACGCCTGTCGTGGCTGGGCGGAGGGGTGGGGGGGTTCTACTCCGGCGCCCAGGGCAGAGGCGCAGGTAGAAGCACGTGGACTGGGGAAGCCAGACAGACCAGCGCACAGGAGTTTGGGTGGGGCTTGGGCGTGCAGGAGGGAGGTGGGGGAACGAGCACTTGGCGAGGGGGATATGGTAGCGAGGGGGAAGGGGGGTGGGCGAGTGGGGAGGAGGAGGTGGGAGGCAGAGGGGGTGGGTCGTCTAGACGGCGATGGACGGAGCAATCAGCAAGCGGGAGTAGAGCAGGCAGGGACGGGGGACTGGGAGTGTGGGGGCTCATGTCATCATCAGGGCCGGGGCTGTTCGTGCGGGGTGGGCATGAGGGGGCAGGGTCGCGCACAGCAGCGGCGAATCTGGGGGCGGCAGCGAGGTGGGGGGGGAGAGTGGTGGAGGACCTGCTATGGCGCTTCCACAAGTCCACCAGCTTCTCCACCTTCGAGAACGCTGGCCTGCTCAACGCCTCTGCTGCTGCCGGGGGCCTCACGCGCTCCCCTCTGCGCCGCGACCCCAGTGGCAGCCTGAGCGCGGGCATCGACCTGCCCTCCACTCGCAGCTGGTCTCGCCCATCGTCTGCCGCGGGTGCTGTGGAGGTGGGGGGCAGTGGTGACGGGTCGGTGCTGCTGGGCTGCAGCACGCCCATTAAGGGGGGCGAGGGTGGGGTGTGTGACGATGGCAGCAGCACAGCGGTGGGCGGATCTGCTGTTTACGGGAGTGTGACGCGACGAGGTGTGAGCAGCAGGAGGGGTAAGGGTGTGCCTGCTGACATCGCTGGCTGAAGCACCTAAGTGGTACGACGCTGACTGGCTATTAGTACCACCCAGACAAAGCAATCAACCTCGCCACAGAAACGTCCCAAATGAGATGGGCACACAGCTAAAGTGCCCATCACCCTAGGCTATACAGTTCATTATTTAGTGCTGGATGTATTGACGAGTGGGCACTGGGCCCTGTTGCCTATGTAGACAACAATGACATAACAGCCCACTCTTTCTTGAAATCAAAGCCGTTTTTGGGCAGAGGTACAGTCGATGCTCAGTCAATCCCGCGAATTTGCCCGTCCCCGATCTTATTCGGTATCCCTCTTGCATTCGAACACAGACAAAGGCCCCTCGTCAATTTGCCGAACATGAGAAAAAAGACAGCTAGTGCTCAGACACACCAAGAGATGCCATCCCCATATTTCCAGATATTTCAGAGTTGTAACTTGTAGGTTCATTACAATCCCATTTCTGCCCGTGGCGAAATCATCGGAGCTGTCGAAATGCATTTGCTCGTTTCACTCCACTGCCGCCCCAAAAGGTGGCGTGAGCCAAGTGGGCATTAGCTGTACCCGTAAACTTGAGGTTGGCTAACTGAAGCAAGCAAAGTTGCTCAGCTTAATTTATCTACTGTAGAATGATATCACTTTACACAAAGAAGCACAAAGCTGAAAGGCCTTGTGGGGACGTAGCCCAAAGAATGGTGGAGCACTTCCCAATCCACAGCTCTCTAAAAGCAGCACCTGCAGACTCCACAACAGCGATTCAGCAGCATACGTTGATTCCATGTTGCTACCGGGTCACAGCAGGAGGCAGCAGCAAGCCTAGTAGCACGTTCACACTTGCCCTTCATGCCCAGTAAGCTCACAGCCAATCCAGCAGCACCAAAGACGAGCAGGCAGCAACAGTGTGTCAGCTGTCGCCAATGGCCGCAGCTGTCACATGTGAGCTCCTTCTCCCGACCTCGTCTCGCTGTGTGTGGGCCCCTCTGCCTCTCGCCATACTTGGCCCTCCCCTGCTGCCGCTATACCCCGTTTCTCTGCATGTCGACTGGGGAGGCAACAGCCAGTGATGACTGCCCACGCTTATGTGACTGATGCGACGAGCTCTGAACCCGGTAACGCTGACACACACACTCCAGCTGCTGCATCAGCCTCACACAAGCACGTCGCCCGCCACACGCTGCAGTCCCCCCCCGCCTTCCACTCAGCATCAACAACACGAAGCACCGCACACAACCGAATAGCTTCAACGCACACACCACCATCCGTCGCCACCACGCGGATCCCTTCCCTCGAGCCCTCGCGTCTGCTACTATCCTGCCCGCCCGCGTCCGTGTGACTCGCCAATTCATCCTTCTCATGCTTACGTCAGCATGCGCTGCCTCTCAACTCACGCGCACGGAATTAGTCGCACTTGCAGACCCATTCATACATGCTCCATGCGCGCTCATGAATGGCCTAGTCCCGTCGCGGCGGCGCTTGGTGCGCGGTGGGGCGCGCGTCGAAGACGCCGTCGATGAGGTGGTCCACGGCGGCGTCCAGCCAGTGCAAGCACCCGCGCGCCAGGATGTCCGACACGTGTCGCTTCGACCGCCACGCCACGGCGTACCCCGCCGACACCGCGGCTGCGCCGACGCCCAGCGAGAGCGCGGGGAGCAGCGCGCTGCGGTCGACGGCGCTGAAGATGCCGTTGCCCGTTGCGAACTCCACCAGCAGCGCCACCGCCAGCGCCACCTGTGGCGGGGAGGGGAAGTGGGGGGGGGGGGAGAAGGGGGGGTGAGGCGACCGCGGAGGAAGCAGGGCGCTGAGTGCAATGCACAGAGGAACATTCCCCCTGCGACCAAAAGCCTCTAATTTTCAGAAAGCAGGATGCGCGACGCGCTGATTCGACTCACCATGGCGGCCCGGCCGGCGACGGTCTCGAGGTCCTCGACCTGCGCGGACGCTTCGACGGTGGCCATGAGCAGGTCCGCCAGCTGCTTGCCGTGCCCGTCCTCTACCACGCGCACCGCCAGCGCCACGGGCCGCACGGCCGCCTCGCCCGTCGACGACTCGTGAAAGTCCTCCAGGTGGCACAGCCGTGGCACCACCTGAGACTCGGGGATGGGCGCCGCGCTGAAGTCGCCAATCGACGCGCTCAGACCCGTACGAGCACGGTTAGCGGCGGGGCGTTGTCTTTGCGTGGTGGAGGGCGAGGATGCGAGGGCAGCTGAGATGGCGTGCCGCAGGACTAGCGTTTGAGCCATCGCGTCGCGAACTTTGGCTGTCAGAAGTGTCGGTCAATCGCGCAAGACTGGGACCGATATGGTGAACGAAGGCAGTCGGTCACCAGATAGTGGAAGAACGGGCCGACAGAAAGATAAGAGCGAGCACAAGCGTCAAGAAAGGCGAAGGGCTGGCTTTGCAGACAAAGCTTCTGCTTGGTTGGGCTTGGTGTGGTAAAAAGGTACAAGCGAGAATGGGGGTAAGAAGAGTGGCTGTTTGTTGCGCACTCGTCGCTGCTTCTTCTCTTGTACGGGATGAGCAGCGATGACCTCGACCAAGCAGCACGAGCTGGGTTGGATTGGGAGGTTGGCGGGGTGTCGTCTCGCTGTCAGATGCGGCGCGCCTTCCTACCCGTCGTGCAGTTCAATGCTCAAAGCTGGAAAGGTGGTTGTGTGACAGGAGACGCGGGCAGCTGGATAGTAGGACGGGCTGCCCGGCTTTCTTTAGGTCCTACATCTGAAACTCTATTGGTGCACGTGTTATTTTGACGTTCGTAAAGCACGTGTTTCTCACGCCCTACACGTCATTGCGAGCCAGGTGGTGTCCCAAACACGGGCATTTATTTTAGCGGTAACACTCATGGAGCTCGATTGCACCCGAGGTAAGCCACGTGTACATTTCGTAACAAAGGAATCGTGTCCTCGCCACTGTGGTAACCATTATGCCTAAATGGTCAATATTTTTGCCTGCATGGTAATGAACAGTGCATCCGGAATTCCTGGCTGGTAACTTCGCGTTTCAACCAGACTGTACACCGTACAAGTAGGGTTTGACTCAGCGAAACGAAACCGTTTGTCCACGTATATACAAACAGAATGCGCAATTCTCTTTAGTGTACGAACACTTACAAACTCAAAGCGTTACATGCACGTATGCGATACAATAATAGCAAGCATCTTACAGACACTCTGAAAAAAGAAAACAAAAACGTCATAGGATCAGTTTCATGGTTCAAGTATATTAATAAAATCACACGTAACATGTTAGTGTATGATTTAAATGAAGTCGTAGCATTAACATAAATAAAAAAACTTGCATAAAACTATTTGTAACATGTTTGTGTAGTTTAGTTTATGCATTAAATGTATTATTTAATATAGAACTTATTATTTTGTTTTTCTATGCAACTTTCAATGCCTGTAATATGCAAAAATAGTTGTTAAAATCTATATTAGAATTATTGTAACTTGATCTAGATCCAATTTTTAAGATTCATAAGTAAAAGTCTAGTAGAGTAAACTATTCTGCTTCGCAATATCTATCATTATAATAGCTTTGCGGTTTGAAATTGTGTTTTTTCGTGGCGTTTGTCTAATAGTTAATGTTTTCAGTTTTAAATTTCTTAAACAGATCACGTTTAGCATAGCAATGTTTTATCGTTTGAAATTGTAAACACCGCTACTATAAACAGAAATGCGCATTTTGTGGAAGACACGTGGACAGTCGGTTTCGTTTCGCTGAGTCAAACCCTACTTGTACGGTGTACAGTCTGGTTGAAACGCGAAGTTACCAGCCAGGAATTCCGGATGCACTGTTCATTACCATGCAGGCAAAAATATTGACCATTTAGGCATGATGGTTACCACAGTGGCGAGGACACGATTCCTTTGTTACGAAATGTACACGTGGCTTACCTCGGGTGCGATTGAGCTCCATGAGTGTTACCGCTAAGATAAATGCCCCCCGAACACCTCTGGAAAAGCTCTCGCACCAGCAAGCAAGCCACATTCCAGCCCCGAGACTCTTGCCAGCTGGTGAGTGTCGGTGATTGGAGTGGACGGTTTCTTGCTTTCGCGGTCCACTAACAGCGTTGAAATCATGAAGCGAGGGTGTCGGTAAAGAGCGCATACGGTCAGGATTTACGAAGAATAAATAGAACAGCTGCCATTGACCTTACGAATCCACGACAGAGGTTCGATGAATTTCCCGCTTGAAAAATGATGTGGGCCGCTGCCTTCCAGCGCAGCTTGCTACGATCTGACGTGCAAGGGCACGTGTAAAGCCAGATCCAGCGGTGACCTTCCGGCTCTCCGGGCTGTTGTGCTGAGCCTCGCTGCCTCGCTCCACCGAAACAGAAAGTTTCCGAATCATGCCTAACCATTCTCGGTACCTACGGAAAGACGTACTCAAGAAACTGCAAAATTCAACACCCACAATGATTATAATTGTAGTATAAAAAGAATGTGCGAAGGTCAATATCAAAACTTTGATTAAACCCGAAATTCGTTCTCATACATCTGAAAGGTGATATGGCCTGTCACCCCATACATGCAAGGGCTGCATGGTATTTGCTAATTGCTGTACAATGCAAGAAACTGGACCCTGCTAAACCCACCTTAAAAGAACTTCCACCCAGGAAAGCTACTGGATTGTGGAATTGCAGAGGCACAAGGGGAGGATGAGGTGGGGAAGAGGGTGGTTGGTGTGCGCTCAAAGAAGGCCAGCGGCACCGCCTTCACTCGCCGCCCCAACTGGTGGGGGGAAGGGGGAACAGGTGTGGGAACAAAGACATGTCCAGGAAAGAGTACAAAATTCAGCACTGCGGCTTACGGGTGTACAGCGTGGCTTGGCTTGCTTTGCGAAATGGGAACGAAAACATGTCTGTAGGTCAACACTTCTTGGGGAAAAATCCGCTGGGAAAGTGGTGTTTCAGTGATTACCTTCTCCCAACCAGGTTGAATGTGTACTTTGGGTCCTAGTGGTAAGTTGATGTGGGGCTGTGCCTCTACTCTACTCTGCCAGCGCATTGATAGAAGCAGCTCTGCCTCTGCAGCACCATGCCCGACACACTGTGCACCGCAAAGCACCCTACTGCGCTGCGCTGTAATGCACGGCAGGGCAGGGCACGCACCTCGTCGGCCATGATGGTGCCGTAGGAGGTGGCGGAGAAGTCAGCGACGTTGAGCTCCACCGTGCTGCTGCGCTCCGATAGGTCCTTCTCCAGTGACGCCACGAACCTGCTCCCATGGCAGTGGGGGGTGGAGAGCAGGGAGACGCAGGGAGGGAGGGGAGATGGGAGAACACCCGCATGAGTTGCAGATGAATGGAGGTGCTGCACTGCCATTCACCAAAGCAAGCATGAGGCTCAAGCCAAGGTGGCCAAAATGGGGGGGGGAATGCGCATTTGTTTTGGGGAGAAAAGGGCTGGAAGAGGGGGTTGGAGGAGAGTACCGGGAGACAGCGGGGCAATAGTGGCGCTGAAGCGCCTCCACCTCCCACAGGCTGCTGTCTGTGAGGTGGGGATGAGGGGCGGGGAGACAGGCACACACAATAGCCAGGGACAAGGCAAGGGAGTGTGTTGCGAGTTTGTCTGAGCATGAGCGCTTGTGCGTGCCATGCAATGACAGGTTCCTCCCAACCTCGATGGTACGATGTGAGAGAAGGGAGCGTACCAAGGGCACGGGCAGCCATGAGGTCGCTGGCATCCTCGTCAAACGGATCCCTCCCTGCCCGCCTCCCCCCTCTGCCTCCCTCCTCCCCTGCTCCTGCCGCCCTCTCTCCACCCTCTCCTCCTCCTTTCCCTTCCGTGCCTTTTCTCCCAGTTCCATCATCTTCAGCTGAACCTTCCTCTCCATCGGCACTGCCCTCCTCGCCCCTGCCATTCCCTGCCTCCTTCCCTTCCGTCTTATCCCCGTCCCGCCCATCCTGTCCTTCCTGCCCGTCCTGCCCTCTTTGCGCAGCGTGCTTCTGTTCCCCCTCATCCTCCTCGTCACTGCTGCTGTCCTGAAGAGTCCACCACACCACACACGCACAAAAGCACTTCGCAGATTCAGAGGCGCACCAACAGCAACAGGTAATAGCACATGAAGAAGAGAACAATGCACTTTCCACAAGAGGAGAAGTGGGAGCAACTGTGGGACAAGGGCAATGGCACCCAGCCAGAAGCAAGGAGCAAGAGGGCCGTCGCACGCCACGCCTCACCTGCAGTGTGTGTGGCGCCTCACCTGCAGTGTGTGTGGCGCCTCACCTGCAGTGTGTGTGGCGCCTCACCTGCAGCGTGTGTGGCGCCTCACCTGCAGTGTGTCAGGCGGGGCGTTGCGGTGCACAAGGGGGACGATGGCGGGGTGGCGGCGCAGCAGGTTGTGGGCGAGTGCCACCACCACTATGGCGCCCGAGGGGGGCGCACACAGCGACAGGCGGAACAGCTGCTTCGTGAACGCCGCTGCCATGTACGCTGGGAGCAGTGGCGATGCTAGACTCACATCCAGCAGCTGGGAGTAAAGGGGACGTTGATGGGGGAGGGGGGAGGAGAGAGGGGGGGTGGGGGGATATTAAAGTGACATGTGGGAAAACGTGGTATGTGGCAATAAATGCCCGCGATGCCATGGAGGTGGTTACCATCATGGCATGGCATCTGGTGGCATGTGGCATGGCATGTGATATGGCAACTGAAGTGCATGGCAAGGCACAGCACAGCGTGGCACCTCAAAGAACTTGGCGCGGTGGGCGGCGCGGAAGACGGAGGAGTCGAGGAGGCGGTAGAGGCGCGGGTAGAAGTGCGGCGCCTCCAAGCCGTGCTCCGTCACCAGGCGGAACAGCGCCGCCAGTGCTGCCACCGCACACGCCCCTCCCTGCTCGTATGACGCCGTGAGGAAGTCGCTGAGAGGTGGGATGGGTGACCACGGAGAGGACGAGGGACAGGCGTGCAGTGGGACGCGTGAGGTGGTGGGGCGTGTGAGGTGGTGGGGCGTGTGAGGTGGTGAGGCACGTGAGGCGGTGGGGCGCGTGAGGAGTAGGGTTTTTTTGAGAATTCTCAAAAAAACCCTACAGCGTGAGGAGCAGCACATGGCGTCAATGGGATGAGAACATACCAGTTGGGTGCGCAGGTGGCGGGGATAGTCAAAGAAGAGCATATGGTGAGGGGGTATCATTGGCGCACACGGGAGACAGTGCACGAGACACTTCAAACATGCACTGGACGAGGTGACAGGTGAGAGGGGTGGGGGGGGCAGGGCAGGAGTGCACCTGAGCAGCAAGGGGTTGGGCAGATGTGGGATGAGGTTGTGCAGTCGACCCAGCACCTGTGGCATGGTGGACGGCGCGCCAAGGGATGGGCCAGGAGAGAAGGCAATGTTGAGAAACGGAAGATGCCACACGGGTTTCAGGTTTAATTGTGGAATGTGTGTGCGGGGGCGGTGGAGGAGTAGTGGTGGAAGGGGTGTAGCGAGGAGCGGGTGGAAAAGGAAATGACCTTCTTGTAGGCATCGAGGGGCAGAGGCAGGGCGAGCAGCCCCAGCCACGCCCCTGCCAGGGCCTTGCGCTCCTCCCCCACCACCACTGCCCTCCTCTCCTCCGCCTCCCCCTCCCTCTGCTCCCCCTCTTCCTCCATCTCCCCCTCGTCTTTGATCCCTGCAGCCCGCTTCCTGCTGCCCTGCTGCCCTGCCTGTCTCCCTCGCTTGCCGCCGGCAGTCTGCTTGCCCCCCCGCTGCTGCGCTCCCCCTGCGCTCCACAGGGGTGGGGGAAGAGACGAGCGGAAGGCAGAGTGGCAGTGAGGGGGTGGCGGACAGGGCGATGAGCGCAAGTGACAAGCAAGAACGGCAAGTGCGGGGGAAGGAGGAGCGGTGGGGACCCCACCCAACCCAAGGCAGCACGCACCAGAGGGCGGGGCGGGCAGCGCCCACGTGGAGAGCAGGTCGTCCTGCTCGCCCCCGCCCTGCCCCACCTCCGCCAGCAGCCTCTTGCCGCCCGGCTTGGGGGCGGGCGGCATCGGCATGGCTAGCAGCACCTCCAGTATATTGAGACACATGGCGTCCTGTGATTGGTGCGTGGAGGGAGTGGGGAGTGTTGATGGCAATGAGGAGAGGACAGGCTAACTGGGAGGAGTAGAGCGCAGAACAGCAGGAGGTGTGAGGTGTGGGGATGCATGCACTGTCAGTGGCCGCGCTGGTAGCGAGGTACGTGGTACAAGGAAGCACATGGGCGGATGAGGTGGGGTGTGGGCAGGCGGGCGGGCACTCACTCGCTTGGCGGCAGCTAAGGGCGCTCGTGGATGCACGGTGGCGGGTTGGCAGGGCGGCACGCCACAAGGCAGGACCACGCGTGCAGCATGTGGTGCGTGGGATCAGGTCAGGCACAGGTGGGTGTGGTGGCGGACACACAGCGACGAGAACGGGGACGAGAGATGGCACAGGTAGGCGGGAAGACAAACAATCAGGGAGGACTGTATTGAGGAAACAGGCAGCAACGGCTTGGCTTGGAGCATGCATGTGATTTGATTGAAGGGGAGACAGAGAGGGGCATGGAATGTAGTGTGTGTGCAGGCAGGTGGTAGTCCAACCCAACACAGTGCCGTGCAGCTGGCGTACCTGCATCCGCTTCACCCTGAGCAGCGGTGGAGTGCTTGGCGGCTGCAGCAGCCATGGACGCACACAGCTGCTCCACTGCCCCGTACACATGCCGCCTGCCACGGTGTGGCGTTTGGACGAGGGTGGGGGGGTGAGAGAGGGGCGGTGAAGGACAGTGATGGTGGGTGCGAGTGGTGGTGGTGATGGGGACGGCATGCACGAGCAGTGGCACCACAGCATGCCATGTGCAGCACAGCGAAACACGCTCCCACCTGACGTCAGCATGGGTGAAGAAGCAGGCGAACTTGGCGAGCACTGAGGGGTCCCCCGCCTCGCCCTCCACCTGCAGGGGGGAGAGGAGAGGTGGGGGCGAGGGGGAAGGTGGGGGAGTTGGGGAAAAGGGAGAGGAGGAAAAGGAATAGGAGACGATTGGCACTGACGGTCAGGGAAGAGCGGTTGGTTTGAATGGACATGGCTCAGCTCAGCTCACCGGGGGGATGGCACGGCTCACCAGGGGGATGAGTATTTTGTTGATGGTGGCGCCAGCCAGGCCGCCCTTCTTTTCCAGACGAGCCAGCTCCATCAGATGCCCCACTGCTATGCGCTGATGGGGGAGCGGTGGGGGAGGGGGTAGAGGGGAGGAAGAAGGGTAAGGTGAAGCGTGAAGATGCAAGCAGCACGCAATAAAGTGCATGACATGACACGTGCATTGGACCCCCCACCTCTGACGACAGCACAGTCGCTACCCATCGCCACGCCCTTTCCCCTCTCCGCCTTCCGCCCTCCGCCCTGCTGCTGTCTGCACCACCCTCGACTCCCTCTCACCATCCACTCCCCCACCATCCCGTCCGCACTGTGCCCCTACCATCCCCTCCGCACTGTGCCTCCCCACAATCACGTCCCTCCATGCGCCTATCTGCTTCCATGCCCGTCCCCTCAACACATCCTCCCCCCCACCATGTCCCCCACCCGCACCTTGCTGGCAGCGCTGCTCTCCGCGGATCTGAGGCGCGCCTTGAGAGCGCCCGTGTACTCGCCGTACCGCGCGCGCGCCCACTGCTGATACACCTCCTCCTTCGCCCGCTCCTCCCCCGCCCGCCCGCTCACGCCGCCCGCGCGGTTGGCTGCCACGTTGCACGAAGGGAAATGGGGGGGGGGGGGAGGGGGGGGTTGTGGTGGGAGAGGAGGGGGATAGGAGGGCCGCGTGAGAGGCGGGGAAGGCTGGCGATGCGGCACTGGCTGTGAGGCTGCTGGCAGAGCCCCTTGCGCGCCGTCCGGCCAGGCAACGGCGCGCAATGGCGGAATTCCGCAACATAACGGGGGAGAGAGTGGCTTTCACGGGGAGACGGAAGAGTAGGGGTTTATGAGGGTTCAGGGATTATACTGGAGGGCGGGGATTATGCGGAGTGGGGCGCAAGGGGCATACCGGGGGCGGGGTGGAGGAGCAGCTCGTGCGAGCGCAGCAGCTGCGCGAAGAACGCCTGCAGCACCGTCACCGCCTCCGCCGCCACCGCGCCGTCGCGATGCGCCGCGAATCGCAGCAGCGCGACGACGTTGTTGACGTGCTCCCGCGACTGCAGCAGCTGCGCGCCGAGCCGCCGTACCTGCTCCAGCGGGGGCGCCTCGCGCACAACCATCGCGGAGCGCCGGGGGGAAACGACGGGGGGGAGGAGCGGCGGATAGATGGGGACCTCGGTGGTGGCGAAGGTGCGGCGCGCGAGTGAAGAAAGGCGCCGACGATGGTGAGCGGCAGGGCAACGGTGGGACTACAATCGGGGCGAACCGGTGCGCTGCGTGACGGGTGCTGTTAAACGCGAAGGATAGATGATGAGATGAAGTTGGTGAATGAATGGTCTTCACTCCACAGAGGGGTTTATGGGTGGGGTTAGATTGGATCGAGGGCTTGTTTCAATGGAAAGCTGCTCCAGCTGAGCTTGCTGGGAGTGTCTGCAAACCAACTGATTCCCAGGGCTTTTATCTAAAACCTGTATGAAATATCGAAATATATATACAACACTTGGTTCAGAAAAGATTTTCGGGAATGTATCAAACACGCCGTGCACGGATTATTCAGCACTCAGCGGTTTACTTGGCGCATTGATGAGGCGCTGTTGGGAACACACGACTGCAATTAGCTCTTCTGCTGTCTACTCACTGCCCCTCTCGCACCGACGTGACGTCAACCCATCCTGTGTGCGTCGTGACGTCGTCCTCGCGCCGTGCACCATCACCGCATATTCCCCGCCGCTCTCGGCCCCGCGCCATCCCTGGGGAAACCGCGGAGGCCACCGGTTCAATCGTCCCCCTTTCTCGCGCCCCCGCGCTCGTCGCCGGCAGCCGCACCACACCCGCTGCGCATGGTCCGTCGCACGCATCACGTCGCGTCACGCCACGTTGCGTCCCCGCACGTTGCGTCGCCTCGCCCCAATCCGCTTTCACCGCCGTGGCGCCCGAACCAGCCGCCGCGCCCGCTGCTGCGCGCCGCGTCGCTCTTTACCGCTGCCGTTTCAATTGTATCCCTTTATGCCTGCCTCCTGTTGACTCCCTCGCTCATTCTCGTTCGCCAGAAGCCGCCTTCACTCACCCGCTCGCTCATGCCAACTGTCCGCCCCTCCGCCACGCGCCCTGCTCCCCCCATCCCGTTCCCCATCACCCATTTCCCTGGCCCCTACAACCCCTGTGCAGTCGCGTCCGCCCAACGGCATGCGCGGGGGAGAGCGGGAGGAGGAAGGGGAGGAGGAATTCGCGGAGATGGGCGAGGGGGACGAGGAGCTGGTTGAAATCGACTCCGGAGGTGGGCGGGATGCGGAGGCGAAAGGGGGAAGGAGGGATGAGGACGGTTGATGCAGCATCGGGCAGGGTTGGCGGTGGGGATGAGGGGAGGGGGTTGAGGGGTTAGCAGGGGCTTTAGGGGCCCACGGGGCGGGTGGCAGGCATTGGTGTAGAGGGAGGGAGCAGCCGTGCAATCACGTACCTTGCTGCCTGCTTCCTGCGCCTGCTGCCTCTTGAGCTCTCCCACTCGCATCCAAGCCTGGTTGACGAAGCGTGGGCAGTCAAGCTTGTCTTCGCTCAGTTCTCATGCCGTTCCCCTTCCCTTCCATCCTCCCGTCCCACCCACTCCAGTGCCCCTCCCTCCCTCCTAATTCGCCCCTTGCCCTCATTTTCCTTCCACCCCCTCCCCCCACCACCGGCACGGCTGCCCCGTGCGCGCATCAGACGAGGACGTCCTGTCGGCCGACTTTGACGACGATGATGCACCTGCTGAGCTCGCAGACGATGGCATGGGTGAGCGGGGGAGGATGGGTGATGGGGGGCTGGGCATGGGTGGGGAAGTGGGGTCATGGCATGGCCGCATGGCACGGTGCTGCTAGTAGACAAGTAAAAGGGGACAAGAAAGGGAATGTGAGTGGGAAGGGAATGGGAGTGGGAAGGGAATGAGAATGGGAAGTGGAGCGAGAGCACTTGATAGCACGGCTGTGCTGACCAGCTCTGCTTCCGCTCCGCTCCACGTGTGCCAGTCCCTTGCTCTGCCCCCACTGCTGCTGCCTGCCTTCCGTTGCTCCTTCTCATGCGTCGCCCTGTGCTGCACGTGCTGTGACTGATCGTGTGCTGCATGTGCTGTGACTGATCGTGTGCTGCAAGTGGCGGTGGGTGGTGGCAGGGGGTGAGGAGGGCGAGGAGGGCGAGGGAGGGCAGGACGACTCAGTGCATGTGTTCACGGCACACACAGGTGAGCTCTGCCGCCCCTTGCTCTCACTGCTTGCACCCATGCTCCTGTGCAGAGATCTGCGACTCCTCTTGAGATGCTTGCCCTTGAAACTTCCCAATGGGTGCTCTTTGATTTGATTGCCTTTTCCTCTCTCCCTGTCTTGCTACCCTCCACCTCACCTCACACCCATGCCGCCTCCCCGTGCCGCCCACCAGGCAGTGTGTACGCCGTGGCATGCAGCCCACTCCCGGGCGGCAGAGTGGCGTCGGGCGGCGGGGACGACGTGGCGTACCTGTGGACCATAGGGCAGGCGGAGGACCCCATCAAGCTGGAAGGTTTGATGCTGCTGCTGCGCACATGCCAATAGCACATGCCAATAGCACATGCCAGTAGCACTTGCCAATAGCACATGCCAATAGCACATGCCAATAGCACATGCCAATAGCACATGCCAGTAGCACTTGCCAATAGCACATGCCAATAGCACATGCCAATAGCACATGCGAGCATGTGAGCATGCCATACTGGGATGGGTCAGGTGCAGGAGCAAGGTGCAGCAGAGCAGCTCCCTCGCACTGCCACATGCCTGCCGTGCGCCATCTCATCTTCTGCCTGCTTTCAATCAACCCCCCACTCTCCACCTGCCCCCATTGACCCCCACCCCCTCCTCCCCGTTGGCATGGCAGGGCACAGGGACAGCATAGCGGCGGTGGAGTTCAGTGGGGACGGGCGGTGGGTGGCGACAGCGGGGATGGACGGAGTGGTCATGCTGTGGGACGCCGCCACGGGGGACAGGCGCCACCGCCTTGAGGGGCCCGGGGAGGCCATCGAGGTGCGCATGGCTGCCACGCCACGGCCCTCGCCCTCGCCCTCGCCTCGCCCTCGCCCTCGCCTCGCCCTCGCCCTCGCCCTCGCCTCGCCCTCGCCCTCGCCCTCGCCCTCGCCCTCGCCCTCGCCCTCGCCCTCGCCGTCGCCGTCGCCCTCGCCGTCGCCTCGCCCTCGCCCTCGCCCTCGCCCTCGCCCTCGCCCTCGCCCTCGCCCTCGCCCTCGCCCTCGCCCTCGCCCTCGCCCTCGCCCTCGCCCTCGCCCTCGCCCTCGCCCTCGCCCTCGCCTCGCCCTCGCCCTCGCCCTCGCCTCGCCCTCGCCCTCGCCCTCGCCCTCGCCCTCGCCCTCGCCCTCGCCCTCGCCCTCGCCCTCGCCCTCGCCCTCGCCCTCGCCCTCGCCCTCGCCCTCGCCCTCGCCCTCGCCCTCGCCCTCGCCCTCGCCCTCGCCCTCGCCCTCGCCCTCGCCCTCGCCCTCGCCCTCGCCCTCGCCCTCGCCCTCGCCCTCGCCCTCGCCCTCGCCCTCGCCCTCGCCCTCGCCCTCGCCCTCGCCCTCGCCCTCGCCCTCGCCTCGCCCTCGCCCTCGCCCTCGCCCTCGCCCTCGCCCTCGCCCTCGCCCTCGCCCTCGCCCTCGCCCTCGCCTCGCCCTCGCCTTCCTCTGCCATGCTCGCCCCAGCGCTGTGTGGTCATGGGGAATGCTGGTTGCTGTGCTTGCTGTGTGGATGCACCTCCCTCACCTCCCACTCCACCCGTATCCTTCCCCATGTCCACTCACCATCTTCACCCTTTCTCGTCTCCCCCCCTCACTGCACCCCCCGTCCCTGCGCAGTTTCTGACGTGGCATCCACGGGGAGCGGTGGTACTGGCGGGGTCGGAGGACCTAACAGCGTGGATGTGGAATGCGGAGACGGGGGCGTGCATGGCCGTCTTCACGGGGCACAGCGCGGGGGTCACATGTGGGGCCTTCTCCCCCGATGGTGGGTCACCTGTGGGGCCTTCTCCCCCGATGGTGGGTCACCTGTGGGGCCTTCTCGCCCGATGGTGGGTCACCTGTGGGGCCTTCTCCCCCGATGGTGGGTCACCTGTGGGGCCTTCTCCCCCGATGGTGGGTCACCTGTGGGGCCTTCTCCCCCGATGGTGGGTCACCTTTGGGGCCTTCTCCCCCGATGGTGGGTCACCTGTGGGGCCTTCTCCCCCGATGGTGGGTCACCTGTGGGGCCTTCTCCCCCGATGGTGGGTCACCTGTGGGGCCTTCTCCCCCGATGGTGGGTCACCTGTGGGGCCTTCTCCCCCGATGGTGGGTCACCTGTGGGGCCTTCTCCCCCGATGGTGGGTCACCTGTGGGGCCTTCTCCCCCGATGGTGGGTCACCTGTGGGGCCTTCTCCCCCGATTGTGGGTCACTTGTGGGGCCTTCTCCCCCGATGGTGGGTCACCTGTGGGGCCTTCTCCCCCGATGGTGGGTCACCTGTGGGGCCTTCTCGCCCGATGGTGGGTCACCTGTGGGGCCTTCTCCCCCGATGGTGGGTCACCTGTGGGGCCTTCTCGCCCGATGGTGGGTCACCTGTGGGGCCTTCTCGCCCGATGGTGGGTCACCTGTGGGGCCTTCTCGCCCGATGGTGGGTCACCTGTGGGGCCTTCTCGCCCGATGGTGGGTCACCTGTGGGGCCTTCTCGCCCGATGGTGGGTCACTTGTGGGGCCTTCTCGCCCGATGGTGGGTCACCTGTGGGGCCTTCTCCCTCGATGGTGGGTCACCTGTGGGGCCTTCTCGCCCGATGGTGGGTCACCTGTGGGGCCTTCTCGCCCGATGGTGGGTCACCTGTGGGGCCTTCTCCCCCGATGGTGGGTCACCTGTGGGGCCTTCTCGCCCGATGGTGGGTCACCTGTGGGGCCTTCTCCCCCGATGGTGGGTCACCTGTGGGGCCTTCTCCCCCGATGGTGGGTCACCTGTGGGGCCTTCTCGCCCGATGGTGGGTCACCTGTGGGGCCTTCTCGCCCGATGGTGGGTCACCTGTGGGGCTTCTCGCCCGATGGTGGGTCACCTGTGGGGCCTTCTCGCCCGATGGTGGGTCACCTGTGGGGCCTTCTCGCCCGATGGTGGATCACCTGTGGGGCCTTCTCCCCCGATGGTGGGTCACCTGTGGGGCCTTCTCGCCCGATGGTGGGTCACCTGTGGGGCCTTCTCGCCCGATGGTGGGTCACCTGTGGGGCCTTCTCGCCCGATGGTGGGTCACCTGTGGGGCCTTCTCGCCCGATGGTGGATCACCTGTGGGGCCTTCTCCCCCGATGGTGGGTCACCTGTGGGGCCTTCTCCCCCGATGGTGGGTCACCTGTGGGGCCTTCTCGCCCGATGGTGGGTCACCTGTGGGGCCTTCTCCCCCGATGGTGGGTCACCTGTGGGGCCTTCTCCCCCGATGGTGGGTCACCTGTGGGGCCTTCTCGCCCGATGGTGGGTCACCTGTGGGGCCTTCTCCCCCGATGGTGGGTCACCTGTGGGGCCTTCTCGCCCGATGGTGGGTCACCTGTGGGGCCTTCTCGCCCGATGGTGGGTCACCTGTGGGGCCTTCTCGCCCGATGGTGGGTCACCTGTGGGGCCTTCTCGCCCGATGGTGGGTCACCTGTGGGGCCTTCTCGCCCGATGGTGGGTCACCTGTGGGGCCTTCTCCCCCGATGGTGGGTCACCTGTGGGGCCTTCTCGCCCGATGGTGGGTCACCTGTGGGGCCTTCTCGCCCGATGGTGGGTCACCTGTGGGGCCTTCTCCCCCGATGGTGGGTCACCTGTGGGGCCTTCTCCCCCGATGGTGGGTCACCTGTGGGGCCTTCTCCCCCGATGGTGGGTCACCTGTGGGGCCTTCTCCCCCGATGGTGGGTCACCTGTGGGGCCTTCTCGCCCGATGGTGGGTCACCTGTGGGGCCTTCTCGCCCGATGGTGGGTCACCTGTGGGGCTTCTCGCCCGATGGTGGGTCACCTGTGGGGCCTTCTCGCCCGATGGTGGGTCACCTGTGGGGCCTTCTCGCCCGATGGTGGATCACCTGTGGGGCCTTCTCCCCCGATGGTGGGTCACCTGTGGGGCCTTCTCGCCCGATGGTGGGTCACCTGTGGGGCCTTCTCGCCCGATGGTGGGTCACCTGTGGGGCCTTCTCCCCCGATGGTGGGTCACCTGTGGGGCCTTCTCCCCCGATGGTGGGTCACCTGTGGGGCCTTCTCCCCCGATGGTGGGTCACCTGTGGGGCCTTCTCCCCCGATGGTGGGTCACCTGTGGGGCCTTCTCGCCCGATGGTGGGTCACCTGTGGGGCCTTCTCGCCCGATGGTGGGTCACCTGTGGGGCTTCTCGCCCGATGGTGGGTCACCTGTGGGGCCTTCTCGCCCGATGGTGGGTCACCTGTGGGGCCTTCTCGCCCGATGGTGGGTCACCTGTGGGGCCTTCTCCCCCGATGGTGGGTCACCTGTGGGGCCTTCTCGCCCGATGGTGGGTCACCTGTGGGGCCTTCTCCCCCGATGGTGGGTCACCTGTGGGGCCTTCTCCCCCGATGGTGGGTCACCTGTGGGGCCTTCTCGCCCGATGGTGGTTCACCTATGGGGCCTTCTCGCCCGATGGTGGGTCACCTGTGGGGCCTTCTCCCCCGATGGTGGGTCACCTGTGGGGCCTTCTCGCCCGATGGTGGGTCACCTGTGGGGCCTTCTCCCCCGATGGTGGGTCACCTGTGGGGCCTTCTCGCCCGATGGTGGGTCACCTGTGGGGCCTTCTCGCCCGATGGTGGGTCACCTGTGGGGCCTTCTCGCCCGATGGTGGGTCACCTGTGGGGCCTTCTCCCCCGATGGTGGGTCACCTGTGGGGCCTTCTCCCCCGATGGTGGGTCACCTGTGGGGCCTTCTCCCCCGATGGTGGGTCACCTGTGGGGCCTTCTCCCCCGATGGTGGGTCACCTGTGGGGCCTTCTCCCCCGATGGTGGGTCACCTGTGGGGCCTTCTCCCCCGATGGTGGGTCACCTGTGGGGCTTTCTCCCCCGATGGTGGGTCACCTGTGGGGCCTTCTCGCCCGATGGTGGGTCACCTGTGGGGCCTTCTCCCCCGATGGTGGGTCACCTGTGGGGCCTTCTCCCCCGATGGTGGGTCACCTGTGGGGCCTTCTCGCCCGATGGTGGGTCACCTGTGGGGCCTTCTCGCCCGATGGTGGGTCACCTGTGGGGCCTTCTCGCCCGATGGTGGGTCACCTGTTGGGCTTCTCGCCCGATGGTGGGTCACCTGTGGGGCCTTCTCGCCCGATGGTGGGTCACCTGTGGGGCCTTCTCCCCCGATGGTGGGTCACCTGTGGGGCCTTCTCCCCCGATGGTGGGTCACCTGTGGGGCCTTCTCGCCCGATGGTGGGTCACCTGTGGGGCCTTCTCCCCCGATGGTGGGTCACCTGTGGGGCCTTCTCCCCCGATGGTGGGTCACCTGTGGGGCCTTCTCCCCCGATGGTGGGTCACCTGTGGGGCCTTCTCCCCCGATGGTGGGTCACCTGTGGGGCCTTCTCCCCCGATGGTGGGTCACCTGTGGGGCCTTCTCGCCCGATGGTGGTTCACCTATGGGGCCTTCTCGCCCGATGGTGGGTCACCTGTGGGGCCTTCTCCCCCGATGGTGGGTCACCTGTGGGGCCTTCTCGCCCGATGGTGGGTCACCTGTGGGGCCTTCTCCCCCGATGGTGGGTCACCTGTGGGGCCTTCTCGCCCGATGGTGGGTCACCTGTGGGGCCTTCTCGCCCGATGGTGGGTCACCTGTGGGGCCTTCTCGCCCGATGGTGGGTCACCTGTGGGGCCTTCTCCCCCGATGGTGGGTCACCTGTGGGGCCTTCTCCCCCGATGGTGGGTCACCTGTGGGGCCTTCTCCCCCGATGGTGGGTCACCTGTGGGGCCTTCTCCCCCGATGGTGGGTCACCTGTGGGGCCTTCTCCCCCGATGGTGGGTCACCTGTGGGGCCTTCTCCCCCGATGGTGGGTCACCTGTGGGGCCTTCTCCCCCGATGGTGGGTCACCTGTGGGGCCTTCTCGCCCGATGGTGGGTCACCTGTGGGGCCTTCTCCCCCGATGGTGGGTCACCTGTGGGGCCTTCTCCCCCGATGGTGGGTCACCTGTGGGGCCTTCTCGCCCGATGGTGGGTCACCTGTGGGGCCTTCTCGCCCGATGGTGGGTCACCTGTGGGGCCTTCTCCCCCGATGGTGGGTCACCTGTGGGGCCTTCTCCCCCGATGGTGGGTCACCTGTGGGGCCTTCTCGCCCGATGGTGGGTCACCTGTGGGGCCTTCTCCCCCGATGGTGGGTCACCTGTGGGGCCTTCTCGCCCGATGGTGGGTCACCTGTGGGGCCTTCTTGCCCGATGGTGGGTCACCTGTGGGGCCTTCTCGCCCGATGGTGGGTCACCTGTGGGGCCTTCTCCCCCGATGGTGGGTCACCTGTGGGGCCTTCTCCCCCGATGGTGGGTCACCTGTGGGGCCTTCTCGCCCGATGGTGGGTCACCTGTGGGGCCTTCTCGCCCGATGGTGGGTCACCTGTGGGGCCTTCTCGCCCGATGGTGGGTCACCTGTGGGGCCTTCTCCCCCGATGGTGGGTCACCTGTGGGGCCTTCTCCCCCGATGGTGGGTCACCTGTGGGGCCTTCTCGCCCGATGGTGGGTCACCTGTGGGGCCTTCTCCCCCGATGGTGGGTCACCTGTGGGGCCTTCTCCCCCGATGGTGGGTCACCTGTGGGGCCTTCTCCCCCGATGGTGGGTCACCTGTGGGGCCTTCTCCCCCGATGGTGGGTCACCTGTGGGGCCTTCTCGCCCGATGGTGGGTCACCTGTGGGGCCTTCTCGCCCGATGGTGGGTCACCTGTGGGGCCTTCTCCCCCGATGGTGGGTCACCTGTGGGGCCTTCTCCCCCGATGGTGGGTCACCTGTGGGGCCTTCTCCCCCGATGGTGGGTCACCTGTGGGGCCTTCTCGCCCGATGGTGGGTCACCTGTGGGGCCTTCTCCCCCGATGGTGGGTCACCTGTGGGGCCTTCTCCCCCGATGGTGGGTCACCTGTGGGGCCTTCTCGCCCGATGGTGGGTCACCTGTGGGGCCTTCTCGCCCGATGGTGGGTCACCTGTGGGGCCTTCTCCCCCGATGGTGGGTCACCTGTGGGGCCTTCTCCCCCGATGGTGGGTCACCTGTGGGGCCTTCTCCCCCGATGGTGGGTCACCTGTGGGGCCTTCTCCCCCGATGGTGGGTCACCTGTGGGGCCTTCTCCCCCGATGGTGGGTCACCTGTGGGGCCTTCTCCCCCGATGGTGGGTCACCTGTGGGGCCTTCTCCCCCGATGGTGGGTCACCTGTGGGGCCTTCTCCCCCGATGGTGGGTCACCTGTGGGGCCTTCTCGCCCGATGGTGGGTCACCTGTGGGGCCTTCTCCCCCGATGGTGGGTCACCTGTGGGGCCTTCTCCCCCGATGGTGGGTCACCTGTGGGGCCTTCTCGCCCGATGGTGGGTCACCTGTGGGGCTTCTCGCCCGATGGTGGGTCACCTGTGGGGCCTTCTCCCCCGATGGTGGGTCACCTGTGGGGCCTTCTCCCCCGATGGTGGGTCACCTGTGGGGCCTTCTCCCCCGATGGTGGGTCACCTGTGGGGCCTTCTCGCCCGATGGTGGGTCACCTGTGGGGCCTTCTCCCCCGATGGTGGGTCACCTGTGGGGCCTTCTCCCCCGATGGTGGGTCACCTGTGGGGCCTTCTCGCCCGATGGTGGGTCACCTGTGGGGCCTTCTCCCCCGATGGTGGGTCACCTGTGGGGCCTTCTCCCCCGATGGTGGGTCACCTGTGGGGCCTTCTCCCCCGATGGTGGGTCACCTGTGGGGCCTTCTCGCCCGATGGTGGGTCACCTGTGGGGCCTTCTCCCCCGATGGTGGGTCACCTGTGGGGCCTTCTCCCCCGATGGTGGGTCACCTGTGGGGCCTTCTCCCCCGATGGTGGGTCACCTGTGGGGCCTTCTCCCCCGATGGTGGGTCACCTGTGGGGCCTTCTCCCCCGATGGTGGGTCACTTGTGAGGCCTTCTCCCCCGATGGTGGGTCACCTGTGGGGCCTTCTCCCCCGATGGTGGGTCACCTGTGGGGCCTTCTCCCCCGATGGTGGGTCACCTGTGGGGCCTTCTCGCCCGATGGTGGGTCACCTGTGGGGCCTTCTCGCCCGATGGTGGGTCACCTGTGGGGCCTTCTCCCCCGATGGTGGGTCACCTGTGGGGCCTTCTCGCCCGATGGTGGGTCACCTGTGGGGCCTTCTCCCCCGATGGTGGGTCACCTGTGGGCCCTTCTCCCCCGATGGTGGGTCACCTGTGGGGCCTTCTCCCCCGATGGTGGGTCACCTGTGGGGCCTTCTCCCCCGATGGTGGGTCACCTGTGGGGCCTTCTCCCCCGATGGTGGGTCACCTGTGGGGCCTTCTCCCCCGATGGTGGGTCACCTGTGGGGCCTTCTCCCCCGATGGTGGGTCACCTGTGGGGCCTTCTCGCCCGATGGTGGGTCACCTGTGGGGCCTTCTCGCCCGATGGTGGGTCACCTGTGGGGCCTTCTCCCCCGATGGTGGGTCACCTGTGGGGCCTTCTCGCCCGATGGTGGGTCACCTGTGGGGCCTTCTCGCCCGATGGTGGGTCACCTGTGGGGCCTTCTCCCCCGATGGTGGGTCACCTGTGGGGCCTTCTCGCCCGATGGTGGGTCACCTGTGGGGCCTTCTCCCCCGATGGTGGGTCACCTGTGGGCCCTTCTCCCCCGATGGTGGGTCACCTGTGGGGCCTTCTCCCCCGATGGTGGGTCACCTGTGGGGCCTTCTCCCCCGATGGTGGGTCACCTGTGGGGCCTTCTCCCCCGATGGTGGGTCACCTGTGGGGCCTTCTCCCCCGATGGTGGGTCACCTGTGGGGCCTTCTCCCCCGATGGTGGGTCACCTGTGGGGCCTTCTCGCCCGATGGTGGGTCACCTGTGGGGCCTTCTCGCCCGATGGTGGGTCACCTGTGGGGCCTTCTCGCCCGATGGTGGGTCACCTGTGGGGCCTTCTCCCCCGATGGTGGGTCACCTGTGGGGCCTTCTCCCCCGATGGTGGGTCACCTGTGGGGCCTTCTCCCCCGATGGTGGGTCACCTGTGGGGCCTTCTCCCCCGATGGTGGGTCACCTGTGGGGCCTTCTCGCCCGATGGTGGGTCACCTGTGGGGCCTTCTCGCCCGATGGTGGGTCACCTGTGGGGCCTTCTCGCCCGATGGTGGGTCACCTGTGGGGCCTTCTCCCCCGATGGTGGGTCACCTGTGGGGCCTTCTCGCCCGATGGTGGGTCACCTGTGGGGCCTTCTCCCCCGATGGTGGGTCACCTGTGGGGCCTTCTCCCCCGATGGTGGGTCACCTGTGGGGCCTTCTCCCCCGATGGTGGGTCACCTGTGGGGCCTTCTCGCCCGATGGTGGGTCACCTGTGGGGCCTTCTCCCCCGATGGTACGCGCTCCTGCTTCCTCTGCACTTCATGCCAGCCTGCCAGTAGTGGATGAGGTGAACCAACAGCCTGGTGGCTGCGACCTTTAAAGTGACTAAAAGTATTCTCCCCCCATCACTACTCCCGCTCTCCCCCCACCAGGGCGGGCGGTGTGGACGGGGTCAACGGACGGGTCGGTGCGCTGCTCGGACCCGCGCTCTGCCGCCACCACCGCCACCCTCGCAGGTCGCCTCCCACCTCTCGCCCCTCTCACTTGGGTTGAGCTTATGTTTAGAAAATGGATTTGTGGTGTTTCTCTTGCGTGTGCTTATTCTTGTTGTGCGCCTTTTGAAGTTGTCTCACGCCCCGTGCTCCACTCAACCCCTCCCCTCCCCGCCCTGCATGGTATGGCATGGCGTGGGATGGCATGGCAGGCCCATTGTTCCACAGCGACGCCATCACATGTCTGGCCATGGCGCCTCAGGGCGCAGTGGGCGCTGCTGGCTCCGCCGACAACACCACCGCCCTCTTCGGCCTGCAGCAACCCAAGGTGGGGCTGCTGCCGTGCCCGCCATCGCCTGCTGCCGTGCCCGCCATCGCCTGCTGTTTCCTGCCTTGCGCTGCTGTCTCTCTCTCCTCGCTCACACGCATCTGCCATTGTTCCTCTCACACGCATCTGCCATTGCTCCTCTCACACTCTTCACTGCTCCACCGCCACTCACCTTCCTACAAGCTCGGCACATCTTCTCTTATCTCTCTTCTCGCATCAATCATCGGCCACGTTGCTGGGTGCATGGCATGTGGGGGGGGCGTGCATGGCATGGCATGGCATGGTTGGGCAGGTGTTGGGGGTGCTGGAGGGGCACACGGACTCGGTGGAGGCGGTGGTCTTCAACCCCCAGTGAGTGCCCGCGCCCTGCACCATGTGCATGTGCCCACTGCCCACCACGCTCTTCCTCGCACCCTCCTGCCACTCCTCGTGTGATGGAATTCAATGCCCCACATTGCCATGACCCTCACTGCATGACACCTGCTCGCACGCCCAGAAAGCAGGCAGAGCAGGCAGCAGCCGTGGCAGGCAGCGGCACAGCTGTGAACCACATGCACAAACCTCGGGCTCGCCCTGAAGCCTCTTGGCTTGTGTGCGTGCGTGCATGGCTGCATGGGTGCATGGGTGTGTGATGCGTGCTGGTGGCATGGCAGGGGGCCAACGGTAGCAACGGCATCACTGGATGGCTCAGTGCGCATATTTGATATCAACTCGCTGCAGCTGCGCTCCACATGCACGCACCAGGTCAGCTGCGCTCCACCTGCACGCACCAGGTCAGCTGCACTTGCTGCATGTCGCTGTCCGTGCTTTTATCGTCTGAACCATGTGGCACTCACACCTTTCATGCTCTGCCTGGTTCCCTGAATCGCCCCTCCCCTCTCTCCCCTCTTCCTTACGCCGCCCTTGCCGCTGCATGGCAGGATGGGGTGGTGCAGATGGCGTGGGCGCCCGCAGCACCACTGCTCGTGACGGCGACGGCAGACGGAGCAGTGCACGTGTGGGATGCGCGCACGGGGGCCATTCAGAAGACCCTGCGAGGCAACCGCAATGCCGTGGTCTCCCTGGCCCTCACCCCGTGAGCCCATTCCCTTGCTCCCCTCACCCCAATGCCCATGACTCTGAAGCCCATCACAAGGCATCTTTAGACTGCACATGGGTCCCCTCCCCTCCCCCGTCGTCCCACTCGAGCATCTCTGCATACGCGCCCACGGATGCACTCCTTCCCCACCGCCATACCACACTGGTGCACGCCCCCACCCCTGCACGACCCCCTGACCCACTCTGACCTGCGGTGCATGCCACGTGCCCCACTGCCTGCCCCATGCGTCACCACCCAGGGACGCGGCCTTTGCGGTGACGGGGTCGGACGACCACACGGCTCGTGTCTTCCAGCTCTAGACGTGCCTGCATGGGTTCCCCGGGGCTTCCATTGGGGAAAGGGGAACTCGTTGACAATTAGCTGTTTTGGGAAGGTGGTGATGAGGCAGAGCAGTGTGGCATGAATGAATGCGCTTATTCCCATGGGTGCTTTTGCTGTGCAGTTCGCCCCGCACTGAACTCTTAGCAGGCCGCTGCCCTACTGCCCCACCATTGAGTTCAGCCCATGCGGTCGTTGTTTGTTTAGGATGAGTGAATAGGACTAGGAATATAAACGTGTCTTTTTGTTGAGAACAATAATTGAATTGAAAGCCCTTCTGCTGCACATCCTCCTGGCTACCAGCTGAACAGATGTGAACATCCTCGTACGGTCGCTTGCCACCAGACAAGCTCTTGAGCCCCTTGTACCGTACCGGTACCAACCACGCAGAACCCCTTCCCCCTCCTCACTCCAGCAGGTCACTGCCCTCCCTGACCATCACAAACAGCGACCCGGCATCGCCCCTGGCGATCCTGAAGTCATCATCGAGGTACGTGATGAGCTGCCACCCCGCTGCGCGCTCGCCATCGATGGGCAGCGCCAGGGGCGGCACGCCCGACACCAGCTTGGCCACCTCCAGCGCCGCCTGCTGCACCGGCTGCAGCGCTGCTGCCAGGGGCGACAGGTCTAGGGTCTGGCCGAAGAGCGCGATGGGTGCGAGGGCGGGTGGGGAGGCGGCGTCGATGGGCTGCGGCGAGGAGAAGGTCACCTGCTCGAACTTCACCTGGTGTGGGCAGGCGGGGTGGAGGGGGTGAGATAGGGGAGAGACGGGGGAGGCGAGTGCAGAGGGAGAAGGAGAGAAGGGAAAGAGGGAGAGGCGGTTCCAGCACGAGCAGAAGGCTTTCCATGCATCTGGACACGGCACCACCTCATCTCCTTGTGCGCCCACCCACCCCACCCCAGCAGCAGCAATGGCCGGCTGACCTGCAGGCGCTTGCCGCTCCTGATCTCGGCCGTGGCGTCCACACGGATGGAGGAGGAGGTGAGCGGCCCCTCAAACGAGATGCTGTTGCTCACCGCGCCCCCCGCCACGTCCACGCTCTGCGTGATGGCGCCCACCCGCACCAGCGGCACCTGCCCCGCCGCCAGCAGCGGTAGCAGCTCCGAAAACGTGTAGCTGGGGGGGAAGAGGGGGGAGGAGTGGGAGGAATGGGGAGAAGGGGAGGAGGGGAAAGGGGAGCGGGAGGCGGTCGTGAGGGAGAAGGGGTGGCGGCACGGCGGAATGAGGGAGAAGCGGCGGCGGCCGGGAAGGGAGAGGCGATGACCAGGGAACACACGAGGCGGGGGCAGGAGGAAAGGTGGGGGAGGGGGAGGAGAATGGTGGGGGTGGGGAGCGGGCGAGGAGGATAACTGGGAGGGCAAAAGGGCAGCAGGAGGCTCACACGAGCACCCAGTTGCCGTCGAGCGCGGGCGACTCGGTGGGCGCCTCGGTGGGGTTGGCGGCTTCCAGCTGCGCCACCAGCTCCGCCACCTCCGCGCGCGTCTCCCCGCTCGCGCGGAACCCGCGCTCCGTGCCGTAGAGCGAGTCGATCAGGCACAGCTTCAGGTCGCGCAGCTGCCGCTGCTGCGCGCGGGCTGCAGCCTCCGCCACCTCCGCCGCCGCAAAGGCCGCCGCTTCTTCCGCGGAGTCTCCGGCTGCAATCGCGTTCGCTTCAAGGCTCGCGGAAATGGTGGCTGCTGCTTGCGTGGCAGCAGCTGACTGGGCGAGCGTTTCGAGAATGTCATCGGGCACGGACTCGTCGCTGACTGCCACGTCCTCAGCGTCGTCGCTCTCGTTGCCATCGCTGTACGCGGGGCCGCCGGACCCGCCGTTAACGGAGGCGATCCACGTCGCTCGACGGGCGGATCGCCTGGCGACCTGTGCGACGTCGCGGGCAACTGACGCACTCGCAGCGTTAAATCGATCCGACGGCGATCTAAGCGAAAGGGCGCACGGCGGGGCCGCTGCGACGGAATGGCCCGCCGAGCGAAGGTCCGCGAGGTGCGGACGCGCCGCAGACGACGCGAGCGCTGAGGCTGCTGCTGCGCTGGTAGCGGCCATGGCGGGACAATGACGCGCGGCTTGGACCAAAGAGACGGACAATGAGACGCGGCTGTTTGGGCCAGCAGAATGCGGCAAGCAATGACAATCGAAGTCAGATCGAGTGGCTCAAGTTTGACACTGGGCGTGGGTTACTGCTGTGGGCGTGCCTAACGAGCCTGTTAAAAAAGGGTACAATTTGGGGGAGCCAACGGTTGAAAGTGGAAACAAAAAGGATAATCTGGTTTTATCCCACATTTGCGTCTTCTGCACATCAAGTGTTGCTTTCACACAGCAACGAAGGCAACCATATCGAGTACATTTTAATCAAAGCTCCATCTCAAGGTCCACGCGAAGAGCATCAACATGCACAATGCCCCGCCATTGCCCAGCCTTGGCTTGCCGCGTCGCGTAGCGTCGTCGCGTCGCATTTTCCTCCCGTCTGTCGCTGATCGCCAGGTAGCAGCGGGTCGCGCGACGCGCCACCGGCATGTGGCGCCAGCGCCACCCGCGGAGGGTGGACTCGCCGCCACGTGGCATGCCAGATGGCGACACCAAGGACCACCTGCGCGCCACATCAGCGGCGAGCGAGTCGCAAGCAACAGCCGCGGTAGTTCACAGACGGCCGGTCTTCTTCATGCCTCGTATGGCGGTCGCTCTCGTTATAATCGTCCTCGTTTGCGTGGCGCTGAGCGGCCATTCCGCGTTCTCGTCGCTAGTCATCCAGCGCATCTGCCACCGCCTCTCCGCGCCATCCGGACCGCACGTATCAGCTGTCTCCGACGCTCTCGATTCGCGTCCGTTCGCCATGGCCGCTGACAGCAGCGGCAGCGGCAGCACCACCGAAAGGCACGAACGACAAGCATCGGTGGATCGCTCCGCGCGCGACGCGTCGCGGCTGCACGTGCGGCTCATCGTGCTCACTTTCGACCGCGCGGCGAGCCTGTCCCGTTGCCTGCAATCATTGCGGGCGGCAGACTACGGCGGCGATGACGTGTCACTGGACATCCACGTGGACCATCCGTTCGCTGGCGTGCAGCTGAACGACCCGCTCCAACTCACAGACCGCTTGGGCAGCCGCGCGTGGGGGATGGAGGAGCAGGCGGACGACCCGCGGCACGCCGAATCCGCGGCGGAGGGTGGTCTGGGGGGAGGCGGGGCGCGGAACCACGGGCTCGAGGCTAATCCGCAGCTGCCTGGCAGCGCGAAGCGCGGATTCGCGTCCCCCGGTGCGGTGGGGCTGGGGCACAGCGCGTTTGGCGTGGAGGAGGCGGGCGACCTGTCCAACTGGCGCCACAGAGGGCGGCTGTGGGCGCGGAGGGCGCAGAGGGCTCGGGGGCAGGCGCAGGGCCGGCGGCGGCTGGGAGAGGTGCGTCCTGTGGTTGGTGCGGTGCAGAGGCGGGGAGCGGGGGAGGTGGCATCGAAGCGGCGCAAGTTCCGATCGGTGCTGGCCGTGGCAGACTCGTTCACATGGCAGCACGGGCGCAAGCAGGTGCGTGGTGGGGAAGAACTGTGCCCACGGAGCTAGCTTGTCAGCACGTGCACAGCTGCACTGCGGGCATGTGACGGTTCTCAATCAACAGCACCTGCAACCCTGCTTGACTTGACTGTCTCTGCGAATCATGACCGGCCAATGGGGTGGGTTGCTGTGCCCTGCAGGTGCACGTGCGCAGCATGAACGAGGGCGTGCAGGTGCAGTGGATGGAGGCGTGGTGGCCCAGCGGCGCCAACGAGTTTGCGTTTGTGCTGGAGGACGACGTGGCGGTCTCACCGCTCTTCTACGCCTACCTCAAGCGCATGCTGCACCGCTACTACTACAACAATACCGAGTACGACTCTAACGTGTACGGCATCTCCCTGCAGCGCCAGCGCCTCGTGCCCGGCCAGCCGGCGCCGCCCATAACGCACACGGGGCGGCCATTCCTGTACTCACTAGTGGGCACGTGGGGGCAGGTGCTGCTGCCGGCGCCGTGGCGGGCGTTCCGCGTGTGGTACGACGCGCGGCGGTACACGCCGGGGAGGGAGCCGGTCATCCGCGGGCTCAAGACCACGGGCTTCTGGAAGGGCCGGGTGCGTGCCACGGGGGAAAGGAGAATGGGGGTGAGAGGAATGGTGGGGGGTTTGTGCGAGTGACAGTGCGTGCGGTTGAGCGTGTGGGCTCCCCTCCCCCCCTCCTCTCTCTTATCCTTCTCTCGTCACCGTCCTCCCCTCCCCGCTCCCTGCCACTGCCAGCCAGCCTGCCTTGCACTGCACTACCTTTTGTGGGCCTGCCTTGCCACCCCCGCTCCCCTCTCCCCCTCCCCGCGGACCCCTCCTTGTTCACCCCTGCACACTGCGCTGGCCCCTGTACTGGCTGCGGCGTTGACACGCCTCGTGTGCCCCTCCCAACAGGGCAACGGCATCTGGACGCCGTGGATCGTGCGGTGGGCGCACGCCACCGCTGCTCTCAACCTGTACGCGTCGCTGCCGGGGGGGCTGGCGCTGAGTGTGAGCCACCGCGAGCAGGGCGAGAGCTTCAAGCAGTCTAAAGGCGCTGATGCCACCCTGCTCATGCCGCACCACCTCACTGCCACAGCAGATATCAGTGCAGTGGAGCAGGTGAATGCAGCAGAACACCTGAATGCAAGAGAGCACATGATGGAGCACCTGAGCGCAGCAGAGCAGGTGGGAGCAGCGGAGCAGGGCCCATGGTGGTGGGAGCAGCTGCCCCCATTAGCATCACTGCCGCGCTTTGACTTCTGCCTGCGCCCGCTGCCCTGGGTGGGGCGAGGGGGCACCGCGTGGGCGTGGCAGGGAGGGGACAGAGGGGAGCAGGGGGAGCAGCAGGGCGCTGGAGAGCATCGGGATGCAGGGCAGCGCAGTGGGGGGGGAAGGGAGGCGGAGGCAGCCGGTGATGACAACGCGGCAATAGGGGGAGCAGAGGAGGGTGGTGCAGGAGTTGATGATGCGTCAGAAGGAGGCGATGCTGAGTCAGCAGGTGCAGCGGGAGTGGCGGATGCCACGTATGCATCCATGGTGACGCGCGATGAGGAGCTGTTGCGAGCGGTGCAGAGTGCGAGAGGGGTGAGTGAGAGACGCAGTCAATGGTACATTCATGGGTGGAACATCCTGGGTTTGATTCATCTTCTTTTTTTTTGGCTCCTCTAAACCAACACTGACTTTTGTTTCCGTCCTCGTGCGTCCCATAACCACACCCCCCCCTGCACCACAGGTGACCTCCTTCGCACTGCTCCTCCTACCTGACCACCAACCCTCCGAGTCACCCCAGCAGCAGCACCACGCCCACGCACACCCCTGGGCGTCCGCCCTGCTGCGCGCCACTGACACCCCCGCCCCGCCCGCATGGCAGCAGCTGGCGCGCAACTGGGCGTGCCACGTGGACGGGCTGGGCGTGTCGCACTATGCCGTGCTCACCTCCTGCCCCGCCCTCGCCCTGCACCTCGCCACGCGCGGCCACCTCGTCTCCCTCCTCCCCTCCTCGCCCTCCCCTCCTTCCTCTGACTCTCCCTCTTCCCCCTCCACCCCCCTCATCCCCTCCCCCGCACACCTCCACACGGCCGTGCAGCTGTCAACCCGTCTGCGCGTGCCGCTGCTGCTCGCCTCCCCCGCCGTCACGTGGGGCGGCGACCCCTTCCTCTGCCTCGCACCCCGCCTGCTGCACCCGCACCACAGCCATGCGGGGCAGCAGGGGGAGCAGCAGGGGCAGTGGCAGTGGGGTGGGTCTAGTCCGCATGAGCAGGGGGCGAAGGGAGAAGAGCAGGCCACAGGCCAGCAACCAGAAGGTGAGGGGCAGCATTGGGAGCGGGCGGGCGTGGCAGTGGGGGTGGGAGACTCGCCTCTGTCAGACGTCTTCCTGCTGCCGCCCTCCTCTGCTGCCCACTCCGCCCTGCACTCCCTGCTCGCCCACCTGCTGTGGGGCACCCCCACCACCAGCAGTGACGGCGGCAGCAGCGACGTTGGGAGTAACGCGGGTGACAGCAATGGGCAGGGGGAATCAAGGTCGTGGGAGGCGCTGCGAGCGGCATGGCTGGGTGCAGGCAACAGTGAAGCCCGGTGGGCTGCACTGGAGGAAGCAGCGAGGAAGCTCCGTGTGGGCGTGACTGTATGGAGGGTGGGGCTGCCGTGCTACATGGCGCCATCGGAGGTGAACTCCTCGTTTGAGTCACAGGGCGTGCAGCAGGGGGCGTGGATGGTGGCGGGGGGGAGGGGGGGAACGGCGGAGGAGGCGGTGGTGGGGATGAAGGGGGCGGGGTTGTGGGAGCTGGATTCGGTGGATTATGTGTGTAAGAGTGTAGTCTGCCTGCGATTGAATAATCTTGTGCCAGCGATCGAATAATCTTGTGCCAGCTTAAAATATATATTCATTATGAAAGATAGTTGTACAGATATTAGCATTTTGAACGTTCTACACAGAGCATGCGGTTGGCAGGGAGGCATGTGGAGACACATGACACATCTGCAGGCTGCATTGGCCACCGTCAGAGATGCATTCAGCATTCACCATACCATAGCTGTTACAAGCACCCAAGTGAACCCCTAACCTGCAGCCACGTCCACCACAGGGCAACCCATATTGGGCACACAGCAGCAGGGAGTTGTGTTTACTGGCTGTGTGCGTGTGGCACTCCCAGATGCCACCATGCCATGTGATGTCAGCTTCCGTCATGTCAGCTGCAGTCATGTCAGCTGCCACCACTGCCTGCCGCCTCGCATCAGAAACACGGACACTTTCTGACTTTGCCTTCGAAACAACAGCGTTCTCACTGTGCTGTCATGGAGCAGCAGTTAGGTACCGGTAGATTGGTTTTCACTCCCCTCCAGCAACAGAAAGAGAGTAGGAGCCGTGCCCCTATTGCTCACAGCAATGACACAAGGAAAGCCCACTCACCGCACATCCTCTCTCCCCACTCACCGCACATCCTCTCTCCCCACTCTCCGCCCATCCTCTCTCCCCACTCACCACCCATCCTCTCTCCCCTTTGCACCCCTATGTCTTTCAGACCCCTATGACTCCCTAATTGTCTGCACCCCACACCCCTCCCCTACCCTTCGCACCTTCTCTTCCTCCACCTCTCCCCATCCATCAGTACCCTCCCCCACCTCCTGCACCTCCTCGACTGCGAGAGACACCAGCACCCTTCGCCCCTCCACTTGGCGGGCGCCGATTGGCCGGCTGCTGATGCGACTGCGGGGGCTGGTGCTTGGAGGCCCTGCCTCGGGGCGCAGCGGCTCCTGTCGTGCCTCCGCCGCCCATCTCTGCTCCCCCCCCTGCCCCCCCTGCACCTGCTGCTCCCAGTGACCCCTTTCTTGACGACCTCCCAGCACCCTGCTGCTGCGCCTGCTGTTGTTGCTGTTGCTGCTGGGGATACCCTTGCTGCTGCGCGGAATACTCCTGCTGCTGTGAGGCCTGCTGCCGCTGCTGCTGGTACTGCTGACGCCCAGGTTGCACCTGAACCGCGTACTGCCCCCCTCGGCCTTGGCTGTACCCCCCACCCCCACCGCTGCCTTGCTCCTCGTAGTACTCGTCCTCCTCGTATCCCTGCCCCTCCTGCCCCTGCTCCCCATACCCCTGCCCTCCATATCCCTGCTCCACATACCCCTGCTCATACCCTTGCCCTCCAAACCCATCTTCTACATACCCTTGTTCGTTGTACGTTTCCTTGTTATAATTCTGCTCGTTATATCCCTGCTGATTATATCCCTGCTCGTTATATCCCTGCTCGTTGTATCCCTGCTCGTTATACCCCTGCTCGTTATATGCCTGCTCAGTATACACTTCTTCGCTATACCCCTGATCGTTATACCCTGTGTCATGATACCCTTGCGGCACATGGTCCTGCTCCCCATACCCTGTCTCGCTGTACTCGCTGTGACCTCCGCCCCGCTTCCCCTGCCGCCCATACCCCTGCTCCGCACGCCCTGCCTCGCCGTACCCTGCTTCATACCCTGCCTGCATGCCATAACCCTGCGTCCCCCCAACCTGTTCATCATAGCCCTCTTCGCCGCCATACACGCCCTCCTCGTATGCGCCCTCACCGCACGCCCCTTGCTGCGCGTACGCCCCAGGATCCCCCCCTTCCCCTCCCTCATACCACTCGTCGCCTCCCTGCTGCTCCTCCCCCTCTTGCTCGCCCGAGTACCTCCCTTCATCATCCACGTATCCACTTGAATACCCATCCACATGCCCTTGCTGCGCCTGCATGTGCTGCCCCTGCCACTGCTGCTGCCCCTGCCCCTGCCCTTGCCACTGCTGCTGCCCCTGCCCCTGCCCCTGCCACTGCTGCTGCTGCTGCTCCTTAGCACCCACCAGCCCCCCCGCCCCTTCCCCACTATCAAATTCCTCCTCCCACACCCCTCCCTCTCCATACCCCTCATCCTCCCCCCCTTCAATCGCCGCCCCTCCTCTGCCATACCCGTACACATGCCCGCCTGCCGATCCTCTCCCGCCACTCGCAGCCCCCCCACCCGCAACTCCCCTCACTGCCACGCTTCCCCTCCCCATTCTCCCCGCACTCGCTCCCCCCTCTACACGCCCACCTCCGCTCATCCCCCCTCGCACGCCCTCCCCCTCAACCCCTCCATTGCTGCTGCTTGATTTCTGCCGCCCATGCCTTCCCCCTTGCGCCCCTCCCCCTGCGCCCATCCCGCGCCCTCTGCTCCCCAGCTGCTGGTACTGCTCGTATTCGCCTTCCCCGTTGCCCCCCACGAGCCCCGCGCTTGCAACACTCCCTGGCCCATCCTCAGTTGCGTACCCGCTATAAGCTCCTTGTGAAAGGGGCGACCCCGTTCGTTCCGAGCCTCCTACTGATCCCCCCCCTTCCTTTCGCCTAGACACACCACTCTTACGCCTGCCAGTAGGCCCACTCCCTCGTTCGGACAGGGACGAGCCTGGGCGCTCGCCTGGGTCGGGCGCGCGGGGAGGCGTGGAGGTGCGCACTGTGGGGGGCAGCATTGAGGCGGAGTGGCCGCGGGGGCGGCGCATGAGCTGCGGGGAGGCGGGGCGGTCGGAGTGGGCGGAGAGGCGGGAGGCGGACGGGTGCAGCGGCGAGATACCATGGCTGCCCGCGTCGCTCTGAGCGTTGCCCACACTGCGACTCCTGGGGGAAGGGGAGGCGGGGGGAGTGGGACGGCAGGGAGAATTCGGAGGAGGGCAGAGGCGAGGGAGAGTGGATAGAGCAGCGGGTGCAGCACCACAGGGGCCCGATGATGACTGATGACAACACTCAACCCATGCTCCCGACGGCAGAAACGACGGGGTTCACACCAAACCTTACCTTCAAATCAAGCTACTGAACCCTACACCGTCAAAGAGATGGCGCTCCATGGAATGAGGTGACTTTGAGTTGACTCGAAAGTTACCGCGATGCGCTCTACAGATCGCCCGGTCCGCAGCTCTGCTCCGGCTCAATAACAGAATGGTTCGGAACAAGAGGCTCCTACAAACGCGGACGGCTACAGGTAACTGCGTACAACCCAGGCTTATCCGCGCGGCACAGCAGTGGCCTCGAACACGCGCCGCCATGGTCTGCACGCCTTAACTTCCAACCATCCGTGGGCTATCAAGAGCTATAAGATTCGACCTCTAGCTTTCTTCCGTACCGTTCCCAAGTCCAGAAGTTTCTCACGCACCTTCCCAAGCTGGCCCGCACCGGGCCTCCCAATGAAGCCCTCCCGCCATCCGGAATGCCCCCTCTTCCGCGCAGCTCCCCTGCCGTTCCACCAATGCTCTGCGCCCGCCGCCCATAGCCTTTCCGCGCGACAGCTTCCCCCGATTGTCCGCGCGCCTTCTGCTCATCCGCGGAAAGCGTCAGCTGCTCCGCATGTTCCGCGCCAGCGACGGCCTCGCGGTGTTTATTGAACGAGAAGAAGGCGACTTTAGCGGCCGACACGGGGGCGGGAGGTCGCGACACCACCGATGTTGCGCTTCCGCCGGATCGCGTCCGTGCAAGCCCACCCGCGTTTCCCGGGTTGGGTTGAGCACCCGGTGCATCCAATCCGCTACCGACGCCGGTGGAGGCGCTGATCCTGCCGCCATGCGCGCTCGCCTTCTTGTTCGCAACCTCGGCAGTGGCGCGGAGGGTGCCCATCTCCTTGTGCTGCCGGCGCAACGAGCTTCTATCAACGGCGGACACGGTAATGGATCGACGAAGATCGTCCATTGACGGCTCGTCAGCCGCAGACGTGTCTGCCGGAGGCGACAACTGCTTGTCGGACCAATTGGCGTCCGAAGTTCTCGAGGATGCGGTCCGATTCGCACTTGGAGTAGCCGCCGCCTTGCTGCTGTCGTCGGATGCCCCCTTGCTCGCGGAGCCCCGGAAGTTGAGCCACTTGGGCGGCCTCGGGCCGTCCTTGGCGCTGCCGCCGCTAGACGCCGCCTTGCCGTCGCTGGCTCCGCGCGGGGTCGCTCTGCTCGACTCGCCTCTTCCAGGTGTTGACGCGGTAATTCGGGAGAGTATGGACGACGTAAACGTGCGAGAGCGACGGAAGTCGTCAGCGTTGGGTTCGTCGTCTTCGGGTTCGTCGTCCTTGGTGGCGGCGTCCATCCACGCGCTGTCTAGCAACGCGTCCTTGTCCTCCCACCCCGCCACCTCCATCATCGCCATTCTTCACCTTCTAACACGTGCCAGTCAAATGAAACCTATTCTTACTGTAAATGTAATCGAAGCGACCTAATATATACTTACTTCTGAAGTGACTACGGGGAAGAGAGTGGAGAGACTAGGTGCATAAAAGCCTCAAGGTAGCGATCAAGGTAGAGTGCTGCGGGGACACAGAGACCCTTGATGGGTGAAAGACAATTGCTGTGTGGGCTTGGTTCAGTTGGTTTGGAATGGTTTGGGTCAGGCGAGATTTCGGTCGCACGGGTCCCTGGAGTAAAAGTGGCACGGGTCCCTGGAGTAAACCCAACAGTGCCCTTTGAAAGCTGGCACGGTCCTAAAAGTGGCGGTCAGTCCTGAATTCGATTTCTTTCACCACTTTTGTGGTGAAAATCCCTTCAGGTCGATAAGTCTTTGATGCTGTACTCATCAGTTTTACATGCCCCGATACATCCAAAGCTTAGGGCTCATGTCAGACACCTATGTTCGGGCCGCAGAGCCTCGGGTCATCGTTGTCACATTTTTTGCCCTGTCAGTGACCTCTTCGGGTCAGTTGTGTGTCCAACTCCGTGTGGAGCCGCCTGACCTGAGGTCTCGACAGGAGCTCTGAATCCTCCCTCGTGTACATCGGGAGCTCAGCATCTTGAGGATGCCGCGCCTTGTTGGCGAAACAAACAAACCATGAGGCCCGTGTGGGAGAAGCAGGCACTCCCAAACACAACCAGGGTTGGTGTGGGGGAAGATGAGTACAGTTCTTTTGGTTACTCTCATAAACCATCACATACTCAATCATAGACATTACTCCTTTCACACATTACTCTTGAGCGCCTTTCCAGCCGCATTAGGACATATAATCGATTAAAAAAATACATAATCAAAATAAAAACTCTCTTGACGATGATTCAGTGAATTTTCTATGAATAGTTGCAAGAGGGGAAAGAGAATGTATATCGAGACAACAGGTGGCACAACACTTGTTATTACTGGGGTGTAACGGGACGATGCATTTTTCCCATGTCGAATCTGCAAGCTGCCAGCTCATCACGCTGCCTGGATCTCGGCAGGGCATTTCATTTAGCGAATCAGGGTGGTCGATACAGACCATGCGACAAAAATCTTTGCATTAGGTGGACATTGTCCCTCAATTAGCGGGCCTCGATTCCACCGCGGCAGCCTTGTTGGCGTCCACGAGTACAGCAGTTAGGAACTTGTAACCATATGCTTTACAACCGTCGCGTGGCCTGACAACGTTTCGTGCAAAATGTCTTGATACCTGCTGGTAACAAGTCCAGCAAACTAATGCATCCCATCTCCCTCCCTCGCCAGAGTCTCCATAACCTTACAAGATCCTGTCTTTGGAGTTAGGGGGATCGCGTATGTTTGAATGCTTGTAGTCGGTATCTGAAACCATGAGCTCGTCAAGAGCCTTTCAATGGGCCAGGGACTTCTACAACCACCCCGCTGGCCCTAAGACTGTCTTCTTCTGGGCTCCTACTTTCAAATGGAGCCTTGGGCTAGCCAACATCGCTGACTACAATCGGCCTCCAGGTTGGGATTTGTTATGGCACTCCACTGGGTTGCATTGTCCACGCTAGTTTCTCCTAACCATGTGGCAGTATCGTTGTCAGGTTGGGACATGGCCGTACCAGTTCAGTGCGGCTTTGATGATAAATCATTGTTTTCTCACAAGACTGACAATGCCGTGTCGTCCTCCCACATAAATTACAGAAAAGGTTTCCTACCCGCAACAATCGGCAGCCGCGGTGACCGGCCTCATCTTCATGAAGTACAGTGTCGACATTGTCCCCGTCAACTGGAATCTCTTCAGCGTCAACGCTTTCCTCTCCGCAACCGCCATGTGGCAGCTTGCACGAAAGCTCCACCAAGATTACGTAGTGGTGCGTTTTGTTCTTCTGTTGTGTGATTCGGGTGGTGAATACGATCATCTTTTGCACTTCATCGGTTTCCACTTTGGAAGCCATGGGATGTCGTCAAATATCATCCGGATCTTTACTTTCCTCCTCTCTTTTCGCTATCTCTGTGCAGAATGGTCCGCCAAAGCCTGAGGCCATCACGGAGAAGTGATCCTTGGACCGTCAGTACAGTATATACCGAACACAGCTTGCCTTTGAATCTTGATCGTCGTAACGAGATCACAGTTTTCTATAGCATAGCAGTCTCGTCCTCATCTTGTGTACACATATGCTACAGAAACCATCACTTATCACGAATCTGTTTTTTACAACGAAGTGCTCGTGATGTCAAAGCAGCTCTGGGAAGTTGGGTGGTCGAAACTGATTGCTGCCAGATCCGATCCTCGGTAGCGAGCTCCATGGCGGACCACGACTACTTTTTAGAACCTTCAGTGATCACTAAGGCAGCAGTGTTCGTCTAGTTCCATCCCCCATACTCCGACAGCTCTCCCCGTTCCCTACTCCCCCCTACTTCCTCTCCTATGTTCGCACTGTGAAATTTTCCATCCTACTTGCAATGCCGTTGTTTCGTCTCCCTTATCCGTCGTCGGTGTTTTCCTTGTTCAGACTTACTTCCTCTCGTTCATTTTTTCTCTGGTCTCCTCTGTTGTTTTTTTTTCTGGACTACCTGACATCTACTAGTCGTTATTAATCCGCTTATGCTCCTGGCTCCCTTCCTCCGATTCGTCCTCCACTAATTACCGTCATCCCTTTCTCTCAGCCTCACCCTCCCTCACTCCCTCCCTCCCTCTAGCCCAAACCTCGTCTCTCCCCTGATCGCATCACCCTTCGTCGCTAACCTCGTTTTAATCGTCCAACATCCGAAGTATTTTCCCGTGCTCCCATATCCCGAGTGGTCTCCCGTCGTCCCACATCCCAAGTGATCTCCCGTTCTCCCACATCCCAAGTGATCTCCCGTTCTCCCACTTCCCAAGTGATCTCCCGTTCTCCCACTTCCCAAGTGATCACCCGTTCTCCCACTTCCCAAGTGATCTCCCGTTCTCCCACTTCCCAAGTGATCTCCCGTTCTCCCACTTCCCAAGTGATCACCCGTTCTCCCACTTCCCAAGTGATCTCCCGTTCTCCCACTTCCCAAGTGATCTCCCGTTCTCCCACTTCCCAAGTGATCTCCCGTTCTCCCACTTCCCAAGTGATCTCCCGTTCTCCCACTTCCCAAGTGATCTCCCGTTCTCCCACTTCCCAAGTGATCTCCCGTTCTCCCACTTCCCAAGTGATCTCCCGTTCTCCCACTTCCCAAGTGATCTCCCGTTCTCCCACTTCCCAAGTGATCTCCCGTTCTCCCACTTCCCAAGTGATCTCCCGTTCTCCCACTTCCCAAGTGATCTCCCGTTCTCCCACTTCCCAAGTGATCTCCCGTTCTCCCACTTCCCAAGTGATCTCCCGTTCTCCCACTTCCCAAGTGATCTCCCGTTCTCCCACTTCCCAAGTGATCTCCCGTTCTCCCACTTCCCAAGTGATCTCCCGTTCTCCCACTACCCAAGTGTTCTCCCGTTCTCCCACATCCTGAGTGATCTATCCTCCCACATGATCCACACCTCATCCTCACTCTCCAAACCTTAGGATCTTGAAGCAACTAGAAGCAAGGTTCCTGAACGAACAGGACATATTCACTTGCTGGCAACCTGAAGCTGTGTAAATATCTCGAGTATGTACACGCCTAAGATTAAAAATGATTGTTAACCAAGAAGTTCTTCACCAGAAACTCATCTACCTAAAATATCAAAATACGCCTTCTGTATTTTTATATTTTTTGGTGATCTATTATATTCGCATGTATACAACGTTGTAACTGTATATCGTCTAATACCATACCAGCTATTATTTAAGTGTTGTGCGATCTGTGGTTGTGAAAAAATCGAAAATCACATTCTGTTTTGATGGTGAAAATGTAATTTGTGCTTAATGTAAAGTGCTCTACATTCAGTCTAGTAAAATAAAACAATTTGGTGTAATATCCATTGTCCTACGGTGATTTGTTTATTCGCTGGCAGGTGCACTTTATTGTTCCACCACCCTCAAGGGTGGAATGGATTTGCTACTGCTATTCCAGCATGCTCCACGGGGTTCATCAGCCCTCACCATGCGGCGGAAAGGCCGGGGAACATTCCCCCTTCTCATGACGGGCGAAACTTGATTCTGCCGTTGTCAGGTTTGAACACCTCGATGCCATGCAGGAGACTCGACGGCAGCCACTTCCATTTCTGAGGCTCGTCTAGCGGTCCAGCGCAGAAGTGCGTGCATGGCGGCTGGTTTGGCATCTCCTCGGGGACCTTGCATCGCGGAATCCACTTAGCGGGCTTCGGCTTGGAGTACTTGGACGAGTTCTCCACGTCGACTTGCGTCGGAGGCACGTTGCACTGGAATACATTCGGCTTCGTCACATTCGCAGCGCTCTCCAGCGCGCTTACGGAATACTTAGCCAAGAGGATCGCCCAGTACAGCCGTCGGCCTTCCCACGTGCAGACGTCACCAGCTATGTTATTCGCGTTGCGAATGATACGCCTCGCTTGGTTATCGTGTGACCTCGCCCACTCGATTTGCGAAAAGAGGTTGGAGAAATAGCGGTGCGTGGGGACGAAGTGGCGGTGCGGGCAGAGCAGCGGATCGAAGAATTGCGTGTATTCGCTGGCCTGCTTGATGAGCATCTGGTTGCTCGACAGAATGCCGCACACGCGCCCGCTGCCGGTGCCGCCGTCCACGTCCAGCTCGTACTTGAACTCCTGAATCTGCGCGGGGCCCATGCGCTCGCCCAGCTCCACCTTTTCATCGCGCATCCTAGAAAGGACAAGGGGAAACGCGTGCAGCAGAATGCATTGGGTTAGCTTTCCATAGCCACTTACAGACGCTGTGAACAAAAGGAACGCGTGACCGTGAACGACGATATTACACAGGAAGAAAGAGGGGTAATAGTAGACACAGCGTTATCCACACGAGGAAGAGAATTGGAAAGGCGGCGCTCACCGGTCGAGGAACTTGGGGTCGACGTTGCCGACGACCTTGGCGTCCACCAGGTCTGGCCGAACCTCCGACATGCGGTGGACTCGGAAGCGTGGGCTGGAGCGCCACTGCGTGTCGTACTGCACGAAGAAGTTGGTCATGCCACCGCGAAACACGGCGCGGCCCTGCTTCTGCTCCCACGGCACCGTATCCTCGATGTCCCTGAAATAACTCTTGCTCAGGTCCACGGGGTCGGGGTAAAGAATGTCTACGCTGCCGGGAGCGCCGTGGGGGGAAAATATCGGAAGGCCCGCGCGGTGCTTCGCTACGGAGCTGACTCGGCTGGTGGGGAGGTCGCAGGTGCTGATAAAGAACTCGGCGTTCAGGTTGTACAAGTTGTACTCGATAATAGCCTCCTCAATCATTCGGATGGAGAAGACGAAGCGGCGCATCCTGTACCAGTCGAATTCGAATCCACCGAAACGGAAGAATATCTCTCCTTTGACGATTCGCACGTGCCCCGAGCAGGAAAGGACACTCGACATCGTCGCCATCTGCCCTAGAAGCTTCGGGCTGATCATTCCGCGCGCGCCCATGCCTTCTGTGATTCCCGGAATGCCCATCCACGGGCGCAGGTAGTTGTGCGCCAGGCAAGCGAGCTGGCGCACCTTGGCGCTGTTGCGGTTCAGCGCGGGGAACGCCGCGAGGTCCGCTACGCACTCCTCGGGGTCGTCGATGTCGGGAATGCCACAGGATCCAAGACCCGCCTCGTACAGCCTGTTGTAGAAGCGACAGGGGGTAGAACGAGAGGAGAAAAACATATGCATATCGAGAATCAATAGGTGTGGTGCATGCGATTTCCTATCGTCAGAAAGAGTATTGAAGGGCGTTCTGTCACCGACGCTCCTGATGAGCGTGGTGTCGAGATGAGCGTCCAGCGACAATTGCGGCATGAAGAAAATTGCGGGGTGGGGGAAAGGTCATGGCAATTGGGTGGCTCGAGGCGGAAATGAGGGCGCGGCGCTCGGAGTCACGGCACACGGCGAACGTCGCTCGCAGCGTACCTTTCGACAGGCGCGGGTCCGCCAGATGACACGTCGCTGCGCGCAGGCTGCGGCACGGGCTGCATGAGCACCGCCTCTGCTTCCGCCATGTCCGTCTGGTACTTCGCCAGCCGCCTCCGCGGTGTGTCGTCCGCCTGAAGAGTAAAAAGAAAATGCGACAGGGATGAAGAAAGTTGCGGATTATTCTAAACAAGATGAGGAGATCGTATGTAGGACAAGTGGAGGCACTGGTAATCTATCGGCGAGTCCTTCAGATGCGAATGCGCGGCGATCCCTAACACTAAACGGCGTACCATGAGCGTGGACTGGAAGTGCGCATCAGCGACTAAAAGGAGTGCGCCGATCAGAACGGCCAGCAGCATACTGCGTTTCGATGCTCTCGTGCTCCCACCCATATTGAACTGTCTAAGTCTTTGCAGTGTGCTCACACAATGTCACAAAACCCGCTACGCAAATAGCTTTTTCGGTCTCTTGAAATAATTCTTAGGATGGCCTTTTGGTGATTGACGGCGCTGATACAAATCAATGATATCCTTGGTTCTTTATAATCGACGAGGCAGCAGCTGCTGCTGCGCCTAATTTGTTTGTTCTGTGACCTGTCGCTGCCACATCACTACTGGGGGGGACAGGGGTCACCGCCATGGGTGTGGAACACAGTGACGCATGCGCTTCGGTGAGCTTCGCTGGTTGGTTGCTGTTGGCGAATTACTGAGCTGAGCACATGCGAATTAAAGAGAGAATCGTGAATCTTAGGTGCAGGGTAACGTTGCTTCAGATCCATACAAGTTCGCTTCTGCAGGAGGTGAGGAGCTCGTTTGTTTCGTCAATGTTCGTTCCAGCTAACATGTCACGAGGGCTGGCATCAGCCGAGGCGCCTCCGTGGTTGCTCACACAGACCCACACCCACTCGCCACAACTAGGAACAGGTGGATCATCAACCACTTCAACAGGTCTGCCCTCGCGAGGAGTGCGGACCGCGAAGTGTGGATCACTCGAACTTCCAGCTGTGTACCCGAGGCGCGAACCAGGTATCAATCCCAGTTTGAGAGGCACTACACCGAGTTTGCTGCACAATATATACATTCTGAAATATTTCAGAAAACCAAGGATAAGTGGTGACAAACGTATGTATTTGTCTCAAATGTTACTATAAGGGACAGAGTTGAAAACTACTGGCTATGAAGATGAGTGGACGTGATGATTCGATGAGTTTAAGACGGTTTTGATATAAGACAGTTACCGGCAAAAACAATTGCAATGGAAAACGTAGGAACGGAGTCGAATGGTTTCCGTACTGCACAACTGCAATGTATCTGTAAAAAGTGTCAAACTGTATGTTTGTGTTCTCTCTAGGCTATAGTGGGTTAGCCTACAAGAGGTTTGGTTTTCTGCGTACTGCACAGCGGCGACAGCAGAGTCAACAGGAGACCTTCTCCTCGCAGCTGCATAGTGAGTTGTTTTCTCAGCGATGTGTCCCGGGTTCTGTAGAGGCTGCAGCTCTAGGTGCTAGTGAGTATGCTGCCGCACTAGGTGCTAGTGAGTCTGCTGCAGCTTTAGGTGCTCGTGCGTCTACTGCCACAGGTCCTGCCTCACTTGAGGCCTTGCACACTTTCACACTTGACTCAGGCGCGTCACAAAGCCTCTTTTGTGACTGCACCACACTCACACCACTTGCTGCACCGGTACCAGTCTCACTGGCTGACCCCACTGGGGGCCCAGTAGTCGCACGAGCCTCCAATGTCCTCACTTGTCCAGCAGTCCCCTCCGGGTCTCTTTCAGGTCTCCACCTCCCCGAGTTCTCGACGAAATTGTTGAGCAACGCAGTTCTCCAGGATGCATGGGTTGACACCTTCATTCCTGGAGAACAGCAGGTGGCGATCTGCAAGTGCTCACGGACTGGCCGTCACCTTACTACGTTCACTCGTCAGCCTGGGTCCGGATTGTACACACTGACCACTGCGTCTGCACAGGTGGCTGAGTCAGGTCAGGTGGCTGGGTTGAGTCGGATGTCTGCGTCTGGTCACCTTGCAGCGTCTTTCTCGTGTCGGGTACTCTCTCACCAGACTCTTCTCTGGCACCACCGCCTAGGTCACCCCTCGCTGCCGCGTCTCCGCAGCATGCACTCTCGTCTCCTTGTCTCTGGCCTTCCCAGGTCCCTGCCCTCCCTCCCGCGCTCGCCTGCACCACCATGCCTTCCCTGCGTCGAGGGGCGGCAGCGCGCCGCTCCTCACTCCTCCGAGTTTCCTCCGACCACTGCTCCTCTGCAGACTCTCCACATGGACGTGTGGGGCCCGGCCCCCGTCGGTGGAACGGACCAGGAGCGCTACTTCCTGCTGGTTGTTGACGACTACACACGCTACACCACTGTCTTCCCCTTGCGGCGCAAGGCGGACGTCAGCGGTGTTTTGATCCCCTGGATCAGTGCTACTCGTTGCCAGCTGCGCGAGCGGTTTCGTCGGGACTTGCCAGTCCTGCGTCTGCACTCTAACAGGGGCGGTGCGTTCTCTTCTGGCCTCCTTGAGGAGTTATGTCGAGACGAGGGCATCCGCCAGACGTTCACGCTTCCGGCCTCTCCTCAGCAGAATGGGATTGCTGAGCGTCGCATTGGCTTGATCATGGAGGTTGCTCGTACCTCCATGATCCATGCGGCTGCTCCCCATTTTATGTGGCCGTTTGCGGTCCGATCCGCTGCGCATCAGCTCAACCTCTGGCCCCGTATCTCTGAGCCAAAGACCTTGCCCGCACTACGGTGAACGAGGAAGGTTGGCGATGCGTCCGGTGTTTCGGGTCTGGGGCGCGCTCTCCCTTGTTCGCGATGCCAAAGCGAGCAAGCTCTCCTCTCGCACTCTCCGCTGCGTCTTCCTTGGTTTCCCCACCGACGCCCCGCCATGGCAATTCTACCACCCGTGCGAGCGTCGAGTCTTTTCCTCCCAGGATGTCACCTTTGACGAGTCTGTCTGTTTCTACCTTCTTCACCCGCACGCGTCCCACCCGGTCCCCCTAGCGCCTCTCTTCCTGGTACCAGTCCTCCCCCCCCCCCGGTAGACCCCCTCTCCCGACAGGGTCCTTCTCCCTCAGGTGTGTCTCAGGTAGACCCACCCCCCTTGGTCGAGCCTTTGGAAATCTCTTCTGACTCCTCTCGCCCAGCTGAGGGGGGTGACCTTGCCGCTGACGACACGGCGGCCACTCGCCGCTCTCCACGCTTAAAGACCCCCCCTGGTTTTCCGCCTCGGCCGTCTTCGTTGCCTCCGCAGCCTGTTGCTGTAGACTCTCGAGCTGAGACTGCTGGTGCTAAGCCTGGGGGGGCTGAGACAGAGGGTGAGGGTTCTGGGGGTGCTGTGACTGGGGGTGCTGGTTCTGTAGGTGCTGCGACTGGGGGTGTTGCGACTGGGGTTGCTGACTTTGGGGGTTGCGAGTCTTAGTGGCGGTGGAGTTGTGGGTGACCCTGCTGGAGGTCCTGGAGCTGGACAGCCACCGCAGCCTGATCTGCTTGAGACGCTCTCGCCGCAGGCGATTCGTGCGTGGATCGTTCGGCGGTGCTGGAGGTGCTGCTCGTGCTGGAGGTGACAGAGCTACTAGTCCTGGAGGTGTTACTAGTGCTGGAGGTGCTGGAGCTGCTGGCACTAGAGGTGCTGGTGCTGCTGGTGTTGGAGGTGCTGGAGGTGCTGCCGGTGCTGGAGGCGCTGGAGATGGAGGTATTGAAGGTACTGGAGCTGCTAGTCCTGGAGGTGCTCGTACTGGAGGTGCTGGAGCTGCTGGAGCTGGTAGTGCTACTGGTGCTGCAGGTGCTGGAGGTGCTACTGGTGGTACTGGAGGTGCTGGAGGTGCTGGAGCTGCTAGTCCTGGAGGTGCGCGTACTAGAGGTGCTGGAGCTGCCGGAGCAGGTGGTGCTGCTGGTGCTGGAGGTGTTGGGGCTGGAGGTGCTGGAGGCACTGCTGGTGCTAGAGGTGCTGGCGCTGCAGGAGCTCGTGGTGCTGCTGGTGTTGGAGGTGCTACTGGAGTTGCTGGTGCTGGAGGTACTGGTGCTGCTGGTGCTGGAGGAGCTGGAGCTGCTGGTACTGCCCCGCGCCGACCGATTTTTTACCCGCAGCTGCAGTCGTCCCTGCCGCTGCCTGACTCGGTCCTTCGCCAGGTTCTTAGTCTCCCGTCTTCCACTGGCCTCACTCCACCTCTCCTGTGTCCACCGACAGACCAGTCTCAGCCACAGCTACTGCCTGGCTCCCCGTTGCCTGCTCCTACTCCTCACACTGAGGTGACTGGGTCCCTGACTGAGCATCGTCAGCCTGAGACTCGTGCTTCCATACCTGTTCGTGCTCGTCGTGTCGTCCGTCCTCGTCCTCCTACTGTCCCAGGCACTCACAGTATGGCACTTCGTCCTTCCTCCGTTCCACATCATGTTGTCCTGCCTGAGCCTCCCGCGTCCTCTCTTCCGCACGTTCCTGACCATGAGTCCGACCTTGCTCGTGCTGTTAGTCCTACTGTCATTCGTCTCCTCGATACTGTCGTCACTGACCCTGACTTTGAGTCTACTGCTGCGTTTGCCCTAGTCACTGAGCTAGTCGACTTTGCAGCTAGGAGTCGTCTTGACTACGTCGCGAGTCTTGTTACTGAGTCTGGGTCTGTCTGTCCTTCGTCCGTTGGGGGTGAGCCTGCCCTTAGCAGTGACGTCCTTGAGGACAGGCAGATTGAGCTTGAGTGTGTTGCGGCCGCTTTACCTCGTTTCGCATCCATGCTGCTTTGCCCTGAGGGAGACCTAGATGCACTTGACATCCCTACCTCGCGCTGTTACGCTGAGGCAATCGCGGGTGAGTACTCCTCTCAGTCGCAGTCAGCCATGGACGTAGAGATGGCTTCCTGGAAGTCCATAGGCAGCTACGTCGACGAGGTTCCTCCTCCTGGGGCGAACATAGTCGATGGCATGTGGATTTTCGGAGTGAAGCGGCCGCCGGGTTCTCCGCCTGCCTTCAAGGCGCGTTACGTTACTCGAGGATTCAGTCAGCGATAGGGGGTCGACTTCTTCCAGACCTTCTCCCCCACCCCGAAGATGACTACTCTTCGGGTGCTGCTACACATTGCAGCACATCGTGACTACGAGCTGCACTCCCTCGACATCTCCACAGCTTTCTTGCAGGGCAGCCTGCACGAGGAGATCTGGCTTCACTGGGTCGTTTCCTGCGGGTACCCAGTGGAGCCTCTGGCGGCCAGTCTACGGTCGCCAGGGGCCTCGCGAGTGGCACGACACACTGAGAACGACACTTGCGGCTCTTGGGTTTGCTCCTTCGACTGCTGACCCGTCGCTGTTTCTACGCTCCGACACTACCCTGCCGCCGTTCTATGTTCTCGTGTACGTCGACGACTTGGT